GAATCCAGAAGGCTGCTGGGTGATGTGGACACGACGGGACCAGCCCGTACCCAGACCTCCTCCATCAGTGCAAGACCTGCCAGCTGTCCAGATGGGAGATTACCACTGCTCTGGGTTGTTAGGAGCAGGGAGAATATCTTTCCCAAAGCTTGCAGTTCAGCTTGGAAAAAGCACTGGTAATTGTGTTTCTGTCGAATGTTAATAATATCAGGCTATTTGGGACAGCAGGAGATCAACATGTGAGCACTGTGACCAAGGCAGATCAGTGAAATGGAACACTTCTCCTCTTCATACTCAGATTTTTCCATGAGATCTTAACTCATTCTTTCTGCAAATCCTATACACAGCTGTCTTTTGTAATTGCACAAGATCTGATTCAAGATCTGATCAAACAGCATCCTATTTGACAAACCAACCCACTAAGTGAACCGTGCAGTAGCACTCTGGTCAACAGGTACCCGTTGAGTTCTCATCAGTTTCTCTGACACCATAATAATACCAGATCAGAAGCAGAAATTATACAGTCTGTTATGGGAGATCCCAAACAGGCCTCTGCTTACCTATTAGTAGCGAAGTAGCCAGGGCCATGTTGAAGATATAAAACAGGGATGGAGAGAGCTGTGGGAGACAAGATGCAGAGAGAAGAAGCTGGTATCTTGTGTGTATAAGGTGTCAAAGTGCTGCAGAGATGAGTGCCATGTCTGTACCTGGTCCATTGGCTCACTGGATTTATAGAGGTCAGACTAACAAAAGGCAGAACAAACTACATGCTCTGTCCCTCTCAGAAAAGGGATGTCTTACAATAGCATTCTGATGCTACAACTTCACTAGAAAGACAGTGATATGACACTTCAAATTTACTTTCTTACAGTCCTGACCCTTCACAGTGTGAAATGTGCTTTTTTCTTTCTTTTTTTTTTTTTTTTTTTCCCTTAAATGATGGCTTTTCTCATTTGCCTAACTTCACGCTTTCAGTTGTAACCACAGTTGGATACAAGTTAATTTGCAGTTTGATGATGGCACTTCCCCAGTGCTAAGCATCTCTGAACACAAGGGCATTTTTTTTTCATTGGGCACTAGTAATGTTGATGAGACCAACATAGCTTTGGGAATAAGGTTTATTACTTAAAAGCTCTTCTGGAGCTGGCTGGTTGGAATACATTGTTTTGTAATGTAAAAAACTGGGACTACCTTACTTAACCAGCTGAAAGACAGAAGATAATTCACCAGCATGTCACTCTGGGGTTTATAATGGCTCTCTGCAAAGCTTATCTTACTATATGAAAATGTTTCCTATAAACTAAACTGTTTAGGCAGCAGGGGCTTTGAAACTCCATCTTCATAACTACCTAAATTAGCTCAAGTTGATTGCTACATGAAGGACAACAAACCCAACAAACTTAGTGGTACTTTAAGCAAACAGCAGGCTGAACTTCTACAGCTGCCAGTGGGATTTGGAGCCAGTTCACATCAGCACTGGTGCACACTGTATTTGGTTAACAGGAGGCAAGTTCCCAACAGCTGCATCCTGTACAGTCACATGCACACATACAGCCAGATTACTGTAAAGATGCCCTCAATGATCAAGCTGTACTAAAATGTGTTACACCACAGGACAGCACCAGCATGTCCTGTTGATTAGAAACTGGACTTGTGGGAGAATGGAAACTTTTCTTTAACACTATGACATCTGAAGGTGCATTTTGACTGTTGCTTACGGAGTACAGTTTACTGGGCCTCCTATGGAGTGAGCAGTGGTGGTACTTCTGTACCAGTGCATCTACACAGGAAAATATTAAAGGCTTCAACACCATCAGACTGAATCACATATGTAGACCTTGGCCATGTGGTTGTCACAGATGCTGATCTCCTGGCTGTCTTCCTAATGAACCTGGGTCCCAGTAGACCAACAGTCTCCCTGTACAGGTAAGCTATTCACTCATTAGCACTTCCTTTCAAAATACAGATGTTTAAAACAGCTGTTCTGTTTTTTTAATGGTACTTAAAATGACATGATACTGGAAGAGGTACAGAGGAGAGATACAAGAACAAACACAGGTATGAATAGCTTCCATGAGGAAAGTGACCAAGGCAGACCTCCTAAGTCTGAAAAAGATTTGTCAGCTGGGAGAAGTCATAGACAGGTCTATAAAGTTACAGACAGCATGCTGGAGAATTGGGTTTTCCCTGACTCTTTCATTACCAGAGCTATGCAGTGTCAAAAGAGGTAAGAGAACTAGGTTCAAAGCAAACGTGAGATCTTTCATCACATCTGCTGGTGGTACTAAAGGTACAAAACATGCAGAGATAAAAATGCATTTGTGCCCTATCAGGATGCTACCTGAGCATAAGCAGAGCACCTGTATCTGCATTGCCAGTCACTGCTGCTGCAGTTTTTCCTACACCAGAAGTTTCTTACTTCCCACATTCAGGTGTGTCACAGTCCATTTGGATCTCTCAAATTTACAGGACAACAGTGCAAGCATCCCCTGTATCCCAGCAGAAGGACAAACCCTCAGCAGTCCACCTGCTGCTGAATCTGCTTCAAAAGCTTTTTGGGAAACCTGGTGTATTTATACCTTCCAGCATGAAAGTTCGGTCTGCATCATTTCCATAATGGATTCTGAAGTACTGCCCAAAAATTAATACAGGACAAAAATTAATACAGGACTATGGCAGCAGGAGACAGCAAACTGCAGGTGCTGGTGGCTTCATAGTGACCTTTAGATCTTCCTTTCCATCACGCACTGCCCATGCGTTGCTCTTGCTTTGACCTAGTGGCACTGCTCCCCGCATACCTCAGGCCTTAACAAGAGCTGTGTGTTAGCCAAAACTTGAGACTCCAAGCCACATTCTGGGTTTCCCGTACCCATGTGATTTGCCAGCCTTGCAGTCAAGCTTGCTCCTGAGCCTGGCCATGGGCATGGAGATTTATCTGAGGAGGGGACAAAATCCCATGCTGGTAGTCCTTGCTCCAGTGGCCACCAGGAGGCTTGCCTTATGCCACCACTGCCACACTCTCCTGTCACTTCTATGTCCTTAGGGAAACAGCCTCGGGGCCTTTCTCTTACAGCTTTCTCCCTCATTGCCCGCCATGATCCCCCAGGAATCTCAATTCTGAATAACTTTTGGCCATATTTTCCCTTTTTAGCATGCAGGTCTTGTTTACTTTCTTCAATATTCATCTCAAATCTTTTCAATCATGCCATTAAGCAAGAGTCAAACTGTCTCATCTATACACCAAAACCCACTAGCTTCTTTCTGGCACTGTCTTGCACTAAAGGTGCTACTCCAATGTATATTTCTCTAATAAACATTCTGTGTCCCTGCTTGGTACCAGCTATCAGGCCAGCTCCAAAACAAATGAAAACAATACTCATGGCATGCTTTGACTTTCCTCTTTCAGAATAGGGCTATTAATTTTGCCTTGAACAAGTTCAAGTACATTTCCCATCCAATTTTAACCTAGTCATCTTCCTCCATCACACAACCACTCAGCAGCCAACACCAACAGTCTTCTCCACAATAAATTCAAAGGTAGGCATAAAAGGTCTGTATATAAGGCCCGGGAAAGAGAAAAGGGTGGAAGGAAGCTGTCACCCATTCAGCAGAGTACTTTATTAATTATTTTCAGTTCAAACTAATTATCACTGGCAGAACTAGTCATAAGCCAACGCTTAGTCACATTTTCTGATTCTTTTCCACAAATAAGATGCTGTCATTGCTTGTGAAAGGTCACAGCTTGCTGATAAGCTAACAACATGGGCATTGGGACTTGTCAGGATTTGTCTGTGATTTGTTTAGCTGTAAGAGCAATTATCTAGTGACCTGATGATTATTACTGATTCTGTTTTAGCTTCTGCTTTGCTTTCTACTATTATATGATGAAATGCTTATTTTTACATGTACATTCAGTAACTATTAGACAGGAAAAATAGGTAGCCATTCTGTGGAGAATAAACTACTTCTGAGCTTAAAATGTAACGCTCACTACATAGGATGATAATAGAAGCCAACAGGATGATGTTGGAGGCCCCAGGCAGCAAATAATCTCCCAGTGGTTAACTACTGGCCATCACAGAAGTACAACATGAGTACCTGTGCACAGATGACGAAGGAGAACAAACTAGTAGCTAATGTGAATAAAATGCATCCCATACAACAAATTCAGATCCACTGTGGTTCTGTGAGCCAATGAAGAACAATATGTAGGATGTTATTAGTACACATGCTCCAATGGCCTTGGATACATCACAGGGTGAGAAGCAAAAGGCCTGATTATAATTTTCTATGCAAATATATGGTATTATCAGAGCACTCCCTGCATCTCCAGTCCAGGTTTTCTTGTTCAACAATCCATACACAGCAGGATGAGCACTTGAAATCCTAGAGACCATTCCTATTCTGTCCTTAAGTTTCTGTAAGCAGCTCTGTACAGCACTGCCAAGAGCTGCTGATAACCCTGGCTGCCTTCACAACCATCACTGAACTTCTCTTTGCTCCCATATATCCCTCTGCAAAGTATCTAGTAAATTATTTCCTACTTAGTGATTACAACTCAGTTTAATGGGTGATAGTAAAATGCCTTAGAATATTTACCTGAGAGAAAGACACTACAGGAGTGGGATGCAGATAAGATTTCATTAGGAGAACATAGGTCTCTTAATGGGCTCTGACATATGAAAGCAATTTCCAGCAGAAACCAGTGATTGTCTTTGCTAGCACAGCTATGTTCTCCAACACATTAGGTAGACAGGCTGTTTGGCTGTTTGCTTTTGTTTTCCTTTGTAAGTAAATGTGCTTCCCCCACAACCCCATCCCCTTTTTTTTTTCCTCTGAAATAAAGGCAAGACTTCTTCCTCAGTACCAGAAGGCACCTTTATCAGTATGGCCAAGAGGCAAATTTTTCAGCTTTACTTAAGATGCAGCAAGTGGTGTCTGTAGTGCTGCAACATAGAAGAAGCAATTGATCAAAATATAGGACACACAATGTGAGCGCAATCAGATATACTTTATTGTAAATTCCTATTACATTGTAGTAATAAAAGATTAGCATGGAAAGCAGGTTTATAGACAAGAGCAAAAAGTGGATAATTGTATTAGATGATGTACACTCCATTAAAACTGCTGAATCACTTAACAGGGATGGTCACTGTGCATTTACAACATACTGTTGTGTCCCTTGTGCCCCAGAGGATTTCTCCAGGAGATTTTGACATTGCAGAGTACACAGTGCAGTCCCCATAAGCTGTACAAAATGAGAGTGTCACCATGTCTGAAGCAAAAGCTCCAAAGGGTTTGGTGTTCCTGAATCCATGGTTATTCACTGAACAGGTGAGGTGGTGTGAATCTCTGCTTTGCTCCACATACTTCAGCAAAAGGGCAACCTGCATTTCCCCCCTCCTGGGCTTACTTATTTTTAACAACTGGTCACCAGTTTTGCAGGAAGCCATATGCAGCAAGAAGGGGAGCAGAAGGTAAATTGTCTCCCCTGCTCTCTCACTAATGAGACCACAAAATGACCTGGCACAGTAAAGCCACAGTGTTTTATGAGCACGAGGTTAAACCTCTTGGGAAACACTTATCTCACCTGTGCCTTGCATATGGGATATGCTCTTATCCACTGTGGCTAGCAGAGAGTGGCCACAGCTGGGTATGGGACTGCAGCACGTGCATTTTTGCCTCACAAGGAAAAAGGTCCTGAGAAAGAGTTCAGGAGGGATGAGAAGTTACCACACACACACAGCTTGCTTCCCTACCATGTGGGAGTCCACAGCTCAGAATGATTCTACAAAGTGGAGTGTGAACCACAGACTCAGAGCACTCTTCAGGCTAGAAAGACTTCAGGGGAAGATCAAGGCCTTAGGAGGCGTCAGTGCACCCACAGAGGAACTTGCTGCAAGCAAGGCAGTAAACTGACCAGCTTGCAGAGTTTCTGAACATCAGGATGCATGCTCATTCCTGTAAGCTGAGCTTCTGTCCCTCAGCCTTCCCAGGCCATGATTTCTTGGGGACTCTTGGGCACAGTTCACATGGGATGTTTGTTAGGTTTGTGGGCTGGCTACTCCTCACTCCACTTTCGTTTGCCCCATGTGCCAGGTGGCAGAGCCTGGAATGCTTTGGGCAGTGAGCTCCCCAGAACATACACACACGAGAAATGGGGAGAGAAGAAGAGGAGAAAAGAATGGAGAACATACCATATGCAAGAGATGTGACCAGAAAATGCAAGACTAGTGTGATAAACTCCAAGAAGCAGCATGAAAAGCTATGAATTTTCAATCAATCAAACAAAAGGAATAGTATGAAGCAAAAGAGTGACTATGAATGGGTGCAGAGACACATGAAAAAAAAAAAAACCAGGAGAAAAAGCACAGTGAAGTGGCAAGCGAGAAGTGAGAGCTGGGAATATTTGGGAGATACCGCACCTTAATAAGTGCTTCCAGCAAAACGTGCTCTCCATTAACTAAAATTATAACACTGTAAGATAAAGCAGTCCTGTTAGCTAGAAATACCTGTTTTTATTGCAGCCTGAACGATCTACCATAAGGTTGTGTAATTCACTCTAAGAATTTATAACATTGGGTTCTTCCTTTTTTCTTTTCAGTGAAATATCAGACCTTAATTAAAACTAAAGTTCAGACTACTTTGGTGAATGGAGCCTTTCAGATTCCCTTGCAGCACTACTGCAAAAGACCATAAATACAAGTGAACTACAGCAATAATATGGCCTAGAATTGCCTTTGATTACGTGTATCTAATTTTGAATCATTCACCATACAGATTTCTTTTTATGCTATCCCCTGTGTTGCCATTTACTTTTCCTTACTGAATCTAGTGAAACCAAGGACGATAAAAATAACAAAAAAGCAGACTTCTACCACTGTCTCTTTTTCCTCCTCTAATGTGGTATTTTGAAACATGAGAACAAAATGAAAGGAAGAAGATGGCATCTTGCCTCATGGTTTCCGAATCTGGATATTCAGCTCACCATACACGTGCCTCAAAGCATCACAATTCAGGCTTGCAATCAGCTTTCGTAACCCTGGTCGTTTTGGGATGCATTTCACTTCCCAGATCAAGGTAGACATTGCTGGGATTTGCCTGTAGGAAAAAAGAAAAGGAAAGTAACAGTATAGTCATCAGTCACACAACACTCTCAACCTGATCAAGAACCAGAGAAACGGAAGGTGGACAGTATAACATGTCTTGATCTTTTTATGTTTCACCCGTTCTCTTCAGTGTCCTACAAATTATTTCCTCCACTTCCCATTCCTCTCAGCACTAGCTCTGTCAAAACCTTTTCGAGCCCTTCCTCGAGGCTGATTCTAAATTTCCAAAATGAATCAGGTTTCCTTTGTCTCCTGCCACTTCCTCTCATGACTGCTTTCAGAATGAGCTTTTTTATAGCCAACATGTATTTTTTCCACTCTGTATTTCCTTTTCACATGTGTACTGTAGGCCACATTCGGTGATTCATTAAATAGTTAAATAACCTCTGGCTATTCCCATGAGAGCCTGGCAGAGCACTGATGAGCAGCTGAGACCCTCTGTCACAGACGTAACATTGGGAGATCCCCTCACCAAGCCACATTTCAGATGACAGCATTGTTTGGAGTCCTGCTGTTACTTTTACTCTTTTATGTTATGTGTGACTACTCATAACCCATAGTATAAACCAAACATATTCTGCACTGCTTCTGATTTTCAATTAACATGCACAGAGAGCCCTGAAAATTGATACGCATTTTCTCAATTCCTTCACTACCTTCTGTGTACAGATTCTTAAGGCTGATATTGATTGATTATGTTAGGGGGATGTCAAGATATAGCTGTGTTAAGGGAACCAAAGGAGGAGGTGGCAGAGTGAGGACTATTTTATGAAAATGAAAGTTATTTTTCTTGGCATTAAGAAGACTATGAATTGAGACAGCATTCACATCTCACATGGGTACGGTACTCTGTAAATAGCTGAATAAAGCAAGCTTAAACTTTAGTCAGCGTTGCAAACTCTCATCTGGTAGGATTTAGCTATTAGATGTTACAGTTGGTGCTATAGCTGGAAGGAGTATCGTGGTAAAAATGGGAAAAGAAACAAACAGGGAAGGAACGCCCACCTGCATCTGAAGATCTAGGTTTGCAGGAAAGACTCCACAGAGGAAGGATCTCCAGAAAGAGACCCTTCCCTAGGTGGCAGTCAGCCCTCAAATGGGATCTAGGAAAGGTGCAACCAGGCTTCACCCCTTCCAGTCACACAGCTGAATTGCCTTCACCTGTGCTGCCATAGCTCAGTCCTTGCCTTAGGCGATCCAGCAGTTGTTCGGGCCGTGACTCAACAGTTCCCATACAGATGTCACGTCCTGTGCCAGAATCAGCACAGTCTGGCTGCCCAGGCTTAGCAAAAGTTGTGACAAGACAAGAAACCTTACTAACATTAAATGAGGTAGCTGAGGATTCTCCCACCTGATTACTGTTTTAGTGTAAGTCTGTCTCTGCTAGAATAAGCCATTCTAGCTCCTTAGCAGCTAGCTTGGGTATTTCTACACGACACTGCATTACATTTTGCACATACAGTCTTAGGTACCCAGTTTCAGAAAAGCAGCAGTAGAGGAAGCTCACATTTTTAGTGTGAGCACGTGCAGACTGATTCTAGTGAGTGCCTTCCTTCTTTTTATCTTTGTTCTTAATGAGAGATGTTCTGTTCCCCTCAGCTGCTTTATCAAATGCCCACTAAAATGGCAGCATCATAAAGCGATGACTTCAATTGCTGCACAAGGTTAAATGCTATTTTTATTTTGGAAGCTATGTGAATGATCTGCAAGGGATGATCTGTACAGAAAGTGATGAAGATTTTATACCAGACTCCCGTGCAGCAAGATTCGGTCTACTTTCATGTGCACATGGGGGACAGATTCTCTGAGGATGAAGGTTCTCAGACCACTTCTTCACAGTGCCCCAGTGAGAAGACACAGTGCTATCATCTCTGATTTATACTGCTATTATCTCTGCATATATATGTACATATATTTGCAGGAAGACAACAGCTGTGTTGGGAAACCAGACCCACTTTTTCCTGTTTCTCTACTGTCCGACTAATAAAACAACTTACTTCCCTCTACAAATGCTAATGCTAGCCAAGCTCTGATAGGTAGAAACAACGAAAGTGACTTACAAGCTAGTGTGAATGTGTGCTTGGCTAAAATCCTTTTAATGATATCCATCAATGCCTGGTTAATTTTCATCTGTTGTGCAACGACTATGCCCCATATAGGCACTGCTGCTGCCAAAGGCTTTTCCATAAGTAATGTTCTTCATCTGCCTCCAGCTAATAGCAAAATATGACTCGTGAACAACGAAGGGAGAAGCCCCCATGCGACTTCATACTCATAATAATGTTGTATCAACTGGATCACACGTATCGGTTTTGTGGAGTGACCAATATGATATAAAAAAGCTATGCTAAAAATATATTGAGGTCAAAAGTCTCATCCCCACAAACAATTGCTAAAGGCAAGTCCCATTTGTGACAGTTGCTGATGGATATGGAAAAAGTGGAAGGAGAGGAAAGGCCCAGAAAAGGTTTAATTCCCTTAGCAAGTGTAGTAAAGCCACCCCAATCCGATTTTCCTGAGAGAGAATTCAGTGATGAATGGTTCTGTGTAATATGCTGAGCCATCACACACAGGAGCCATTTATCACTCCGAATGCATGGAGGCAAATGTGATTATTATTTAAATAAACTACAACTGCTCACTGCTCCGTCCTCTGTGTGTATAACCTGCAGCCTTCATTCATCTAAGAGAAGTTAAATCACAGATTTTAAAATGACTAAGCTGATCCATTTCCATTTTTAAATGATGCCAAGGGCACTACTGCAAAGGGGAAAACATGGTGACTTGAGGGAAAATGACGTCTGTTCTGTGAGTCATGCTTCTCCCTAACTTCTGTGCCTTTGATGTACCTGACAACAACTTCTGCATCCTTGAAGGTGAGAACAGCCCACTGCATTCTCCTGGAACACAAAGGATGCAGAATGACAGGGGGGCTGGAACAGCTGTGCAGCAAGGAGGGCTACTGCTGCAACTTGTGTAACTCCTGTGGACTGTGCTGAGTCATGTTCAGCAGCATCTGTGACATAACACGTGCACAATGCAAGCACAGTAGGATGCCCTTTCACAGCCATTTTTCTGTCCAGCTCCACTCTAGAGACTGGTTTTGATCTCTTTATCCCTGGCCCAGGTGCCATCAGGCTCAGACCTCCCCTACTGGCTGCAGATAATACTGAGAAATTACGCAGCTGCTGAAGCACAGGCAATTTTTCAAACTCCTTTTGCACAGACCTGGAGATGATCGGCACAGGTAATGATAGATAGCATCACTTAGGTTGTCCAAGAATAAGCAATGACTGCAAAATATTCCAAGGATCCAGTTATATATCCTGGAACCTGGTTAATGACAATCTTATAACACTGAACTCAAATGGAAAGAGGGTTTAGAAAAGTACTTGCTCATGTAGAAGCACTCCCATGTCAGTGTGAAGCACAACTGTGTATAATGAAAGCCACTGAAACCTCTCCTTTTCCACAGCTGAGGAAGAATTGCTTGTGTACCCACCACAGCTATCTCAGCAGGCTCTACTGCAAACAGCACACATTTTGTGTCTTGACATTAAGTTTGTAAAGATCATCTCAGATATCTGAACATCTTCTATAAGCATGACTAACATGAGTGAAGAAAAGTCCTTTTTGAAGAGCACCACTGGAGTTGATTTGCACACACTGAGTGAGGGGCAGTAAAAACCTCACGTGTCTGATAAATCTGTCTTCCAGTGATAGCGACTTGTAGGTGCTATTGTCAAGCACTAAGAATTCTGTAATGCAGTGAAAGAGTATACTTTATCTGCATTAGCAGCTACCTCCAGCCACAACACAGTTCTCCCACACTGGTGCTGAACAGATGAAATGTAATCACAGGTCCCCCTTTGCACAAAGGACAACGTAACTCCTGACTTATAGGTTGAGACCTACAGCTCCCCTATGTACTGATTTTTAAAGTAAAGAGAGTGTCCGAATTACTCAGCACTGCATTAGTTAGGAGTCTCTTGTGAGCTGCATCCCATGAGCAAGAAGGAGGCCATTTTGTTTGCTTCCATACCTGAACTCCTTTTTCATTGTCCTCAGCACACCGGGGCCCTCAAGGCGGAGTGTGACGTTCTCCAGGGTTTGCTTCAGAGGGTTGGTGAACTCCACAACCACAGACATTTCTCTATCAACGACCATCTCGCCTTTAGTCTGCAGAACAAAGTAAGGATGAAGCTTTGCAAGCTCATAACAATAAAATGCCCCACAGTGAAATCCATAGGGTTAAATATACAGTACCTGTAAGGAAAGAGAGAGGGGGAAATGGAGCATGTAGCAAAAGAACACAAAGCAGAGAGCGTCTAGCCAGAGGAAAACAGTTTGATGGGCCCATAGACTCTACCATTACAGATTTTTCTACCCATTTTTTTTCTACCCATGATGGATCAACAGGTAGAAATTCCTCATTTCTATAGGAAAAGTAGAAATCTGCTTGCACTGTCCTGGACCTGAGGTCCAAGTGGGGGAGAAACTGGATAAACACAGGCATTCTCCCTTATTCTACCCTCTCCCCAGGCTCCCTGCCAGCCCTGACGTGCATGGCTCCAGCAGGATTTTCATTTTACAACTGGTAGATGCTAGTGGGTCCACAAAAGATTTGAAAGGGCTTTGAGAAAGGTAGCTAAGAAAAAGAAGTAACTTCTAAGTAAAACTAAAATGCTATGATGGAGTCTGCGGTCCTCCTGCAAATAGTTAAGGAGTCTGGCAGTTATAAAAAGTTGGAAAGACTCTGGTCTAAGGGATCACTCCATGACAAATACCAATATATTGACTGGGATAACAGATGAGACGCTTACAGCTAAGTGCTTGATTAGCATTTAGCCACCTGAATTAGCAAAAAAAGTGGCATATTCAGAAGCTCTAGCCCAATTAAGGGACTTATGTCCTCCTTATTTCAATTGCCCATTTAGATGTTTGAAGATCATTGATACATGAGGGAATTAAAAATTGTCCTGAATTCCCACACATGTAACTGAGATTGTGACCTCTATTTGCCAAGATTACTTCTGTAATCTGGTGTCAAGCTAAACTAGAATAAATGTAATTTCCTCTACTGTTAACTCTGACAGTCTCCTTAGACAACCAGAGAAAGATCAAAGGTGTATCCAAAGATGTGAAAGGAAAGAATCTTTTCATTCTTCTCCTTTACTTTCCCATTAAGAACTCCAGTTTGACAAACATGTTCAATGAAGAAATCTGACGAAAACGAGGGAGATAGCTTCCTCAGGTTTCTTAAAAAAGCAATACAGCAAATTTTCCTAAAAAATACATACGTATACATGCACATACAAGCATACTTTAAAAAAAATTCAGCTGTTAAATTTTCTTCTTGTATTTACATATTAAAAAGAAGTAGAGAGGAGACAAACTCAGTTTTACTAGAAGATGTGGTTATTGGGCAACAGCAAATCCCATATACTAATCATCCTTTGTTCATAAGAGCAGGGAGGATAAACGTTTTGAAGCTGAAACAGAGGATCCTGTGTGAGATGTTCTGTTCAAATATTGAATTGAAAGAGCTCTACTTTTTAGATAAACACTACTTCAAATACCTATTTTGTCTATCTTGTCTCTGGAATACTCAATTAAAAAAAAATTCAGTTTGAAAATAGTAATATCCTTATCAGACCATTTCTGAAACAGTCTTTGCAATGCAGCATAGAGTCCATGTCCTATCAGTCACTACACTTCTAGTTTCAGATGTACCATGCCTCCAACTGCAGAAATGTTTAAAACCCTACTGACAGTACCCTCATAGGACAGCAGCAAAGCATTACTTTGAAAGTACCATTCCAAAGGCAGACCACCCATCCATGTTTGGAAGAAGCTTCCATAAAAAGTGAAGAAACTTTCCAAGCGAATTCACCTTAGCAATAGCATTATTCTGTTTTTCAGCAAGAGGTCTCTGTATCACACTGCTTTAAATAGAATACTTTTGAAGTACTCGAAGACTTGAGTGACTTAAGCAAATAATCTCTCTTTCACTCTTTGAGCTTCTCCTGCTTTCTCACATCTTTTCCTCTCCTTCCTCCACTGAGATCACTCTAGCTCTCTTCTACAGGTAATGCTGACTTGAGTGTAGGCTGCTCAGTGCAATATGTAACAGATATATACATTCTCATACACTCCAAGGGGTAGCTGTTTATAAGGTTCATGTTAAACCAGAGGTTTAACGTGCACACATGCACAGCTCGCTGTCCCAGAAGTCAACAAACAGCCCACACACAGTGATGATCACTTATCTCCTTCACAGTCCTGAGATACCTTGATTTTCAGGGTGGGAATTTCCAGGACCATTGCCTTCTGCATAGCCAGAACCTTCCCTGTTTCATTGATCCGTGCTGTCACAAAGAAGTGAAAAGAGGCTTGGTCCAGCAGGTCACTGAGATACTCAGCTGATGTGATCATAACATCGAAAGCACTAGCTGAGGGGAGAAACAGAAAAGAAAAAATGCATCTGAACTCTTTCATCATGTTCAGTGGTTACATGAATACCTTGGAGAAAGGTAACCCAGCACCAAAGAATGACTTTCTCCTATTGCCCAAACTACCTTTCTTCCTTCACATCATTATTTGCTCTCATGTTTTGTTCTCTTTGCATTTAAGTTGCGAGCTCCTTGAGGTAATGCCTGGGTCTGTGCATAGCTTCTGCCTCTGCCTGTCACCGCAGGCCCAGGACACTATTGAAGGTTCCCAGGCACTATCACAAAATAAGTGAGAAGCAACACTGGCAGTAAGTAGCTGGTGGACACAAAGGTTAAAACAAGTCCTGAGTGCTGCCCTTGTAAATCTTTGCTTTTCCCCTTTATTCCCAAGCTTTCTCTGCTTCTCTTCCCTGCAGAGAGATGCCACCAAGGAAGACACCAGAGCAGATGTTTAGGCGTTTGCAGGCTACCTGGGAGACTGCCTGCTCCCCAGGACATGTCTGGATATCTGCCTTTGTCCTGTAATGGGCTTGCATGCAACATTTAGCAAATGACTCCTCCTGTCTCCAGCATGCCCTCCAGAGAGCCTTCATGCGCTTCCTGACAATAATTATCGGAAGGAACAAGTCCCCCTGGGCTAGATGGTTGAGATGCAGGGAATCATTAATGTAACCATATTGAACTGCAATTCCCAGACCAACAGTGGTGTTAGAATGTGATGCAGACAGGCAGATCCGCTAACTGACCAAGCAGAATATATAGATCTGGAGATCTTGCCTTTAAAAAAGTTCAGTATGACTCAAGTAAACATATCAAGATCTCCCATCTGCTAACTATAATTATTATTGTTATCCATCATTTGTATCACATTTGTGACATGGTACACTGAGATAATCGAACTCAATTGGTTAAATGCATTCACCCCTTTTCATGCTTGTGATCTGCTCATATCAAAACCAGGTTCCTGATTTGGTTTCAGAGTAATTTCCTCAGTAACCACCTGAGCTGGATTTACCAGGCCAGCTTCAAATTTACTTGATGTTCTCCTCAGCTCCGTCTCACTTTGCATCTCTTTTAAAAGAAATTCCCATAATGCCCCAAATTGTAAATTATAAATGAGGCAAGGCATTTCTCATCCGTGCAAGGTAAACAAATAAGCAAACAAATAAATAAATTAGTTACAATCTCAGTAGAATTTGCTTTATAGTGGAAGGAGAGAAGAATTTTTCTGTTTAAATTTAATCACTGCAGGGAAAAGAAAGAATAATAGACTTCCATTTCCTTAGCACTGGCTGTGCTGGTAAGGTGCCAGTACCACTTTCAGCACCCAGGAAAGCCAAGGGAGACACAAAATCAAGCTGCCTTACAGCCTTTCAAAAAAAAAAAAAAAAAAAAGAAAAGAAAAAGAAAAAGGAAGAAGAAAACTAAATATAACTGAATACAGAGCACCTTTGAAGGCTCTGAAAGGTTTAAGCTATTCAAATCCTCAAAGATGTTTTCAACCCACACAATTCCTTTAATCATTACCCTGAAAATCATGCATTCATTCACTTCCTGGTTGAATACTTAGTTTGCTTCATTCTTTTAATATCACAGTCTGGAAGAATGCTTTTGACACTTCTTTATTATACTGTAGTGTCGTATTACCTCCAGATACGTATACACTTACTGGCATGAATGAAGCCTACAAATTGTGCTTGAGGGCCTCAGGAGGTATCCCTTTACCACACACCTCTGACAGACTGTGCTCGCTCAGCTGCCTCCCTTCACACTGCCCATCTGCTCAGACATGATTCCTGCCTGCATGTGTACTCTTTTGCAAGGAAAAGGCAAAAGGATTTATGTTCAGGTTTTATGTAGTACCTTCAGAGAAGACATAACTTGTGAGAGTTATGGGGTTTTGGGGGCTTTTTTTGACCTGTTGTTGGACAAAGAGCTCTATGAGCTGGTGACTGCAGTTAAATGGTGAGCTAATTTCCACATTGAAAAGTGGTAATACCTTAAAACATTTTGCCTTGGCCAGAGGCAGCAGTAAGGACACACACTTTTTGTATACACATAAAATAAAATGAAAATGCATGTTCCATTCTCTTAGGTGCCTTTCTCCAGTCTGTGCTCACTCACCAGCGGTCAATTTAGAGCTTACAAGGCAGTTTCAAGAAGCTTTTCAGAAACAATTTACTTAGAAAAAATGAACAATGAAGCTTAGTGATGCTTAAAACATTACCTATTCATTTCACTTCTTGAGCAGAGGAGATAGACGAACCTCAAAACACTAGAGAAGCCATATTTGGGGTGATAATAACTTATGTATACCTTTAGTGCAAGAGAACTTAACTTCACTGTAAGTCCTGAAAGCAAGCACGAAGCACAGACAAGAAGTATAATCGATATTTACACATCTCCTATGATATGGCTGAATTCCCTGTTAGAGAAGTGGTGTGGAATTTAGACTAAGCAGTTGAAATTGATCTTTTTACTGTGCTTACCCAAATCTCCAGAAGTTTTGCAGTATTTCAGATAAAATATTTAATAACTGATGCAATGAAATTTCAAACCTCACACTGTGTTTTGATAGGTTCTGATGAACAGAACATCAGAACAATTCAGTGCAACCCAGGCAGTCCATATCCAAAGTCCTTGCAAATGATTTGGAGGAGTTAGAAAACAGCTGTCAGAGCTCTGTTATAGCCTGGAGGTGGAATTTTCAATGACTTTCAAAATGCAAATCCTTGTAAATGGACACCTAATTTATGGAGATTAATCAGCTCCAAATCAAAATATGCAGTTTTAGTAAATATTAATAGTAAATAAATAAAGTGAGGAAGAAAGCATAAGGGTTGCTTCAAGACACAGTAGGAACTGTGATTCCGCAGAGGTTTCTCATTGAAATGAAACCTGGCCTCTTTGAGAAGACTCACAGTGCCTCTTGAACTGGGACAAGACAGAGAAGACAGGTGAGAATGCTCAGATGTCAACCAGAATGGCTGTGATCAAGCACCAGATCCATCCTATGGGCTTACAACATCCTGCCACTCCCACTGTACTCAGCAGAAATTGCTTTTGCCTAGTAGCAGCATCAAGAAGGCAAAATCATTGTTCCTTACTGTCTCAGTAGGGAACTCAAGAAGAGTCTAAGACTCAGACTTAGCTTGCTTCAGAGCATGTTTTCATTACTTTTCCTGACCTGGACTCACTGAACTAAGCGCACAGGCCTGCCAGAAAAACAAGTGATTTGAAGACACTTGCTGCTGGAGAAACCAGGGCTATGCAACCAGCTTGCTCCATAGAACTGGAGAATGGCAGATCCTCAGCACTTCCTGACTGCTTTCCAAATGGGGCTGCTGTGGCCGAAAGGACATAGGTCAGTTAAGACCAAAATAAAAAAAAAGAGAACATCCCTCTTCCCTACTTTGGGAAGTGCGAATTCCTGCCCTCAGCAGTGTGAGCTAGGACCCTCAGAACAATTTTTCTCATGAACAGGTGGAGGAATGATCTCCCCACCACAGTCCAGAAAGCACTGGGAAAAGCAAACACTACACAAGGAAGATAAGTCACCTTCAGAGTGCATCCCCAGCTGACAAGTGCCCCTGCAGCATAGTAGCGTAGTCTAGCTATAGGTGCACTTTTTAGATCACTTTAAATACACAAAGCCTGAAACACTCAATCCTCCAAAGCCAGATTTGTACTTGGAATCAATCAGTCGTGCAGCCCAGTGTAGGAGAGCATTATGCAGGGAGCAACAGCCTGAAGAAAACTGCCTCAGCTCTAAATGATGGTGGAATCGGGGCTTCTTGATACCCAGTAGAGTATCTTAGTTTTAGCTACTAGAATTGGCTCTCTCCATGGTTAGAGATGTTGATGACAGTTAATGACACAAAGAAATAAGGTTAGTAGGTTTGAAAACAACCACGCGACTCTTACATGAAAGAGGATCCAGTTTTGCACTGAAAGAATGCTTCTTGAATTCACTCTTTGTGACACCAGTATAAAACACTATGTTGCCTGAAAGGTATGTAGTAGCAGTGTAGGAGTTGCGGCTCTTGTTCCTGAATATTATAGTGACTTTAAAGTCACTGCCAAGGACTGCGTTTTGCACTTGGAGATCCATCTCAACATCCTTTTGTGGCTGATATGTGCTCGGTTGTGTAGTTTGCTTTTTAACACCATACATTACAGCTGTCTCCAAAGCCAGTCTTTCTTCTGCTGAGCCTAAAAATAAAAGAAAATCAAATTAATAAGAGAACCAGGAATACTGCATTAGCCCACTCACAGAAGTGCGTGTTTCACAATTCGTAGCACTTGAAATTAATGGATGAGAACTGTGAACTTTCATGTGGCTAAGTTAATATTAAATCTTTACAACTTCCATTTGAGATGGTCTTGAAGATTGAAGCTATACCCAATAAATTAATATAGCTTAGTTAATAGTAATGAAGCTACACTGATTTACTCTTTGCAAACATCTGTCCTTCTCAGGCCTGGATAAGAAATGCCTAAACAACTGTATAGAAACCTTTGAATTGCTTTGTATGCTTCAAGTTATTCCATGATGGCTCTTTGTTTTGACCACAGCTTACTCAGTATGAAGCATTTCTAGTAGCAAACAGTTTGTGTTCCTATCAAGACATCTGCAAGGCTGGTGGAGCTAGAAATGAGAGAGTTCCAGAGGGCATGTTGGCAGCTTTCCATGCAGTGGAAAAAGTGCCAGAAGTCTGTAAGTTCACAATTCAAGATCTGATTCAGGCAAACCTATGTTGGCATGGTCCCATTCTTTTTCAGGTTACCTTCTTGGAATTTGTAGTTCTCAGTAATGTCTACCATATCATCACTTCCAACTCCCTTGGTCACAATCAGCTTCCCAATATGGGTTGTGTCAATTTTTTCTATCACTTGGGATCCATTTCTTCCCATTCTTGAGTAAATAACATCACTATTCACCTATAAAATCAAATGAGAAAGGATTGAGATATATGGAAGTAAAGAGAGCAAAGGAAGCCATTTTAAGTCCTCTCAAAACAATCACATAATAGAATCACAGAATCAGAGAATGTCTTGAGTTGGAAAGGGCCCACAAGGATCATCAAGTCCAGCTCCTGGCTCCATACTTCTGGATCCTCATAGGACCATCCAACATTCAAATCCAACGAGGCTGCCACGAGGTCTCTCCTCAGCCTCCTCTGCTCTGCACTGAACAAACCAAGGCACCTTAGCCGCTCTTCATACACCTTTTTCTCCAGACCCTTCACCATCTTTGAATGCTCTCTAACAGTTTGATGCCCTCCTTATGCTGTGGTACTCGGATCTGTCCCAAATGCTAGAAGTGTGAAAGCATAGTATGGAGCACAGCAGGGCAACCCCTTCCTTTGCCCAGTGGCAGTGCTGGGCCTGATGCATCCCAGGGATGATTGGCCCTTTGGGCTGTCAGGGCACACTGCTGGCTCACATTTGGTTTGCTGTCAATCAGAACCCCCAGATCTCTTTCTATGGGGCTACTCTCCCTGCATTGATTTGAAGTCCTACTATTTATACTGAAATACCATGTATAAAATTAGACGTACTCTACAATAATTACTAGATGCATTTTACTATATGCAACCCCAGAACATCAGTCAGAGTAAACCTGAGTAAGCTACAGAAATATCATTTAGACTTGGGGAGCAGGATTACACATTCCTCACATCAAAAGATTTATTCCAGAGGAGAGTGCTTCATAGATAAAATGTACTTATTCTCTTCTGTGCTAAGCTATATACAACTCAATTTGAGCAAGACTTGCTCTACAGCTGCTGCAGTCCTGGGCACAACTCTGGTGGGGTAAGAGGTTAAAACACTGGGCCAGGTTCCCTAGTTCCTCATGGAGATACAACCTTCTCAGATCTGTCAGTCAGACTGCCCATGTGAGCACTCCCTGACCCAAAGCAGCCCAAAGGAACATGATGTCTTCAAAATCACAACATTAATTTTGACTGAAATAAGCAATGAAGCCTTAACATAACCAGGTTTGCTGGCTACCTGAGAAGGAGGTCACAGCTAACAAGAATGAGTAGCTAGAGCTGGTGACTCATTTGCCAGCATAGCTGGAATCCGGATGACCACACACTGAAATTTGATCTGAACAACTTTTTCTGCTTTCTATATTGGTGAGCTGAGATTAGAGAAATCCATATCACCTATTAGAGCCATATCACACCTACTGGCTTGCATGCCAAAATATAATAATGAGATTAGACTTTGATGCAGTGAGTATGTCAAATAACTTCTTAATCTACAAACTGCAGTGGAGCCCTTTCTTCTGTCTCAGCTACTGCCCCACAGATAACGCTCAATGGACAAAAATTTTTCAGGAACATACCTCAGCGTAGACAAAAGGAGCATCAAATTGGAAGCAAACATGACCATGCTTAATGGCTAGAACTGATGCTGGGCCACACCTGTACATACCTGTGGGGAAAAGAGATAAGGAGAGAAATAATCCTTGGGTTTGGTGAAGCTTTTCAGTAGTTTACCAGGACTCCTAAGTGAGAAATTCAAAGCTTCATTTCTGTGCTGTCCCCCAAACAACAAAGACTCAAGCATGAAACTACCTAATGACTTGGTAACTGAATGGTATCGTGAAACCCACTGAATGTCTCAACTGGTTGAAAATGCAGTTAAGGTTGGTTTTGGTTAAAGCATATGGTAGTTTCGGGAAAGATCAGCTAAACTGAGAAAGATATCACTGCAAATCTGCTGAAAAATGTCTTTCAAGAATTGCAAAATTAAAGACTGGGAAGAAACAGCAGTGGCTTTTCATGTTTTCTCTCCTGCCTGCAGCTCAGGCAGTTTAACAAGGGCTGTACTGAACGGCTGACACATAATGAAAGGGAATTCATTTGATCAGGCTCCTGTACAGGTTCTTCAAAAATTTGGAAGCCATCCTTTGGCAGTGGAACTACATTTCTCATAAGACCATCTTCATGCAGGATTTTGTGCACATATGCCATGAGCGGTGTTAAAACAAGGACTTATTTTGGAGCTCAGAACAACTCAGGAGAAGGCCCTGAGCACAAATGAGTGTGGTTATCTGGTGTAGGGGGTTTTCACAGTCCAAGTGCTGACACTGGCTTAGCTGCAGTCTATTCATTTATCACAAAAAAAAACCCAACAACCCTCAAGCACTGCAAAGAGAGCTAAGGAAGACTTCAAGCAGTATTACCATCACTGGTCTCTTGGGGTGTACCATCAACAGCCTGCCATCCTCCAAAACCAACAGGAAGATCGGGTCTGGTCATCCAAGCTTCATTCCAGCAATGATAGTTCCTTAGAAAGGAGATGAGATCAGAATACTAAATTCTTGGAAAGAAGCAGAAATACCACAACAAATCTGTGACTTGTCATTACTCCAATAACAACACCTGTCAATTTAGGGTGAAAATGTCTGCTCTTTTTATAGAATAGATTTTAAGTCTATTGGTTTGATGACTATTAGTTAACATCTGAAGGCCACAGTCTGTCATTATAGATCTCTGCCTGCAAGTTGAAGAAGATTTTATTCTTCTACTGTGTGCTGAATGCAAATATAACTGAGAAAAGATTCCAGTGCTTGTAGACTGTTGGGGTATATGGAGAGTTACCCACATTACAATCTCTTTCCAGTCTGATGTCCTTAAAGATGGACCTCAGGGTGGCTACAATCCTTTCCATCAGTGGAAGACATCTCCAATTTAATATGCCTACAAATGCAAGCTTTGAATATTCTTCAAGCCACTGAAACTTGGTATGCTTTGTAACTAGTAAAATTGAAGCTTTGGTACCTCTATTTCAGGATCAATTCAAGAATATAGTGTGTAGCTTTGTTTTCGTGGCTGAAAAAATTATGCTCAGCTGGTTTCCATGTTGGTTGAGAAAAATACAGGCTTTGTAAGACTATCTTTATTGGGAATTTCTTGTCTCTCAGACCAGTGAGGGAGGTTACACTACAAGAAGGTACAACTTTCCATGAAATCCACTAACGACCATTCCTAGAACAGGTGATGCCTTAGGGATAGGACAGTATCACTGGAAGATGAATTTATCAGAAAGATTAATCTATGTGCTTAGGCTTGAAATGCCTTTATTTAGTTGGATGTGCAGCAAAAAGAGATAGGTTGCTCTAAAAGTAATGCCTCCTGTTTATTTCCATGGAAACTACAACAGATACAATGAGCGCAATCACACTATTTAGTAGAGCGAATTCTCAGCTACAAACCACTATTTTTCAACACAGTCATCACCACTAGATGAGCATTTTCACCACTGATGAACAGGAGCTCTTCATTTTGTGGTGTGACAGTTGTGCATTGCCATCCAGAATGTGCCTTGTCTTTCACTGTTGCCCCTGCAGAAACACACCACCCACTACCTCACTGTGCTCACATCCACTGTTTGGTATCTATAAACATTCAGCAAGCATTGATAAATGTCAATGGTGCATTCTTTTTGTACTTTTTTTTACATGGAGGAATTTAATTCCAAATCTTCTCTTCCTGTCCATTTCCACGTCAGACATCAATTTGTCAGACTACTACTCTGCTGCCATCTGCCACATGGCAGCAAAATATAATGGAATATTGTGGAATAGGTCCAACCTCTACTGTCACATCACTGACATCTACGTCTGATGTCATGGGCCAACATAATAAAATAGGAGGCATTACTTTCGGGGCAGGCCTCATACTACAGCATCATCCCAATGTGAACTGGAAGTTTCAAACGAGTAGGCAAGATGGATCTTGTGACTTTATTCCTGCACTGTTACCTGTGCTGCAGGGAGAGCACAAGCAAAGAAGAAAGGCCATGTAGGATGGGAGTTGTACATAAAGACAGCAAAGCATTTGAATTTCATTACTGAAAGAAAAAGAAAAAAAAAGAGAAAGAAAGAGTAGAGAAGAGGCAGTTTTGCTTTCAAATTATACATATCCTACAGCAGAAATGAATAAAATTACATCAGCGTAGCTGCTGATATAGCCCTTAGCACACACAGTGATATTAGCAACAGGAATGGGGACTGTTAATCTCTGACCATTTCATTAATAATAGGTGAAAACCAGCCACATAGCAGAGTCGGAAGGATCTGAGGCTTGTCTAACAAGACGTTTCAAAGTGGAAATGAAAGCTTGGATCAGGGTAAAACTTGTCAGTTAGGAGTGTTAATGAAGCACCACCACAGAAAAAGGAATTATTCAAGGAAAATGACGCACACTCAGAGAATTTTTGATGCTGCTGAGAGTAGTCAATGCTGAATCATGCTAACAGAGCTCACCTGAGGGCTACCTGAGGATGGGGGAGCACTTTACGGCAGGTGGGCTTTTGAAAGCTGAGAGAGACAATACCTACCCTGAAAGTCCACTTTGAATCAAACTCAGATGTGTCATTGACTTTGTGTTCCGAAAAAGAATAATCTGAAAAGCAGGCAGGAGGGAAAGATGATAAAATCAAAGAAGGGATAACAACGGGGAAATGGCAGCTCTGCTTCGAATCCGTAATTAGATAATGCGGCATCTTATTTTTCTCTGTTCACTCCAGGAGACAGGACTTTTCTCACTGTTTTTTATTTGTGTAGTGTTGAGCACATCAGGACAGCAACTTCTCTAGGTCTGCTGCCACACAAATAACAAATGCACATCAAGACATTGAATGTGAATGAAAAGAAATATGTTGTTCGTAAGGCACATGAGTGTCAAGGAAAGGAGGATGAGGACAACATTTCCCTCTCCAAAAAGCGGCAGAAAATTTGCTCTAGAAGAAGTGAGCACAACTGAGGAGCTCGCTCTGCAGCCACAATTTCTTAAATTGAATCTGTACTTCTTGTATTCTACAGCAAGCCTGAGACATTACAGAAAGCAAGAATGGCTACACAGATCAATGTAGTGACCATTAAATATTTACAGAGATAATTACGAATAGACTAAACAAAGCAATGGGGAAATTAATAAAAGATGACCAGGTAGATATTATGCCTGGAAGACAATTTAAGAAGGGTACTTGGTATTGCTTATGAGGCAGGCACATGCCGAAAACAGTTGCTGCTCTTTCATTAGCAAATAATCCTGGGCATGAAGTTTGAGAGAGACACTGATAACACAGAGAGAAAAGTGAGCAGGAAGTGAATGGGTGAGCAGAGGTCTTGGAAGGGCTCAATTCACAGAACACGGGTGAACCCACATGAGTATGGGTGACTCCAAGCAAGTCCTGCTGAGGCACTGACACCATTCTGCTTGGACTTCACAGTAGGAGTAGTCTTGATTCCCATCCAAGAGCAGTATTCCTTAAGTGTCTTTATATCATCATTAAGAAAGACAAGGAGAACAAAGTAAGGGGACAGAAGCAGTACTGATGGGTCCCAAATCTGGCCAGTTTCATAAAAATAACTTTTTGCGATGTCTGTGTAATTTTGTCTACGTGCTTTGTTGTTGTTGCTGTTTCCTATCTCAAGGGGGAAAAAGCTCTTTAATAAAAATAAATGTCAGATAGCATTCACAAGGAGCCACGCACTCAGAGATTGATTGGACTAAAAATCCAGGCTGCAAGTATTCCTCAAGTCTGAGGGTATTTAAAACCTGAAAACAGATCAGCTTCAGCAGTACGAGGCAATAGAAATGATATATTAACAAAGAAAAATAGCTTTGTTACCACTTTGCAAGAGATTATAAATAAAAGTGAGAAATACATTTAAAAAATCATTATAAGTACCTTGAGCTTGTCCTCTTAAAGCAAATAAAACAAAACAAAAAACAGAAAGTAACAAAAGACTTCAAAAAATAAAATCAAGGTTAAGACACAAGCCATATAAAGTCTGCATGTGGGCTACCACGGAGTGTTACAAAGTAATGAAGAGAAAGGACACAGAGGAGAAATAAAAAAGGTATGGAACATATATTAACTTATGTCCAAAGGGTGATGTGCACCATGTACTAATAAATGCATCAGGAGGATAAAAGGGATGAACAAGGCAGTTCAAAAAGTAATCAAGCCAAAGAAAAGCAGGAGGGCAGGAGGAAATGCTGTTGTGAAGTTGAGTACGGATTTCAATAGAGCAAGGATGACTTCAGATGATCTGTCTCTGCCCTAAAAGAACGGAAAAATATGGAACTGATTTCAGAAGCCATGGGAAACAGCTGGGAAAGGAAAAGATAGGAACGTACAAGGAAATGTCAAAACGGAGTGAGAGTTGATTCATGGGTCAGCTTAAGAGAAGTGTAGAAGAAGAGATAAGATGGTGAAGAGTCTGAAACATGGCAGCGAACAAATTCTGTGGCCACACAGAAGTTCAATGGACCTGATGGGATGGACCTATGAGCAGTGAGGGGAGCTGGCTGATGTTACTGTGAGGCCACTCACATTTGCCTTTGAAAGGTCTTGGTGACAGAGGAAGGCTCCTGAGGAATTTAAGAAAGCAAATATGATCCTTCTCTTCAAGACAGAGAAGCAGCAACATCCAGGGAACAACCAAATTAGCAGTCTCACTTTGATCCCTGGGAAGGCGATAGAGCAAATTCAGCTGTCGCTGACTGTGCTTTTAGCAGGGAGCTGGACTGGATGACTTCCAGAGGTACCTTGCAGCCTCTCCTATTGTCTGTAATGTTATGATACAGGCTTCAGATGTAAATGAACCTAATTGCTTTCCTTAAATTGCATCTTGGTAACAGATTATGGAAATTACATAAGGAGGTTACTGCAACAGGTTCAGTCATTTCATCACCACAGAATGGATTTATTAAAGTTTTAACATAAAGACTTCCAGGGATTAAGTTGTTAATGAAACAAGCTGATGAGTAGCTATGCTGATGAGGTGAAGGTATCATTGACACAAATCAAGTATATTAACACTGAATAAGACAAGTATCTCCTGAATATAGCAATATATACAGAGGTCACATTCACTGCTTCACTTTGAGGAGGAAAGGCTTGAGGCCCGATAACCCTCACATAATTTTTACTGAAGAGAGCATATAATCAATATGTGCTACACTTCTCTTGTCAGAAAGGAGACAGCAAGAGTTTGAGGAGAAAGGTAGAGGACTGTCTTCTCTAAAATAATAGGTAGTCCATTTCTTGTTCACAGGAACATTTCTTTTTATAAATCTCGTGATAGCATTTCAGTAACGTGAAATAGTTTGGCTTGCTTCTTTTTCAACCAAACTGGAATTATTTGGGAAAACACTCATTTATGACACTGACTGCATGTACAAAACATAAAAAAACATCTTACAAATGCAAGAATTAGGTGGGAGTAAAACAAGAAGTTTGCTTTTCCGTAGATATTGAGGTATCTCTTTGAACTTGGATCAAAACTGATGGAAGTGCACAATCTACCACCTTCTCTCATTCTGGGAACCTACCTGGCCCTAAGGAGTACAAATACATGTCAACTCTTCTTCAGCGCACTGAAATGTACACTACTGAATGGTAATATTAGTAGTGATCTCTTAGATCTCCTACAGCTTGTCTCTTTAAATGACAAGCACTTCAAATTCATCATCCTATCACCAGTTCATTGTGTTTTCTGCAAGCTAGCAATATTCTTTACTGAAAAGAGAAATAAATGAAACACATACATTTCTTGTTATGTTTTTGACTATGCATATAGTTGGCATATTAAAGTCATTTGCCAGGAAAACTCACCAAATAGAGTCTTTGGTCAATCTGTTGTCCACCTGCCCTTCATCATCCAGAAAGAAGTCCAACTGTAAATTGGCATTGTTGTCATGAGCAGAAGAATAATTGGTAATGAGTCTTGCAGGTATCCCCAGGCACCTCAGAACTGTGTCAAACATAGAAATGGAATGAAATATGAGGACTGTGTTCATAGATAACAGGATGAGTAAAGGAAAATATTAATAATAGGAGTAAGATGGGAAAACTCAGACAAATCAGCCCAAATAATTTCTCCTATCTTTCTTTATATAGAATATGTTAAACATTTTGTTTGGTTCCCAAATTTGACTGAACATTCAAGATATATAGTGATACAATTGCTTAATTGGCCAGTTACCAATACTCTTGCATTCTGACCACACGGCAGCTTTTCAGGTCAAATCTGGATGGAATAGATCAAATGTGGTATGAAGAAAAATAATTTTGAGGTTCCATGGAATGCAAAATACATTAGAACTCCTATTATCAGTAAGCCAGGAGAATTAAGAGAGACTATGCTAAAATGAAGATGAACGTAAAATGTTTCCTAGTTGATTTGGAGTTTCCCTGTTTTGGAATATGCTGTCAAATGGGGTCTGGAGAAAGGAAACAATAAGGCAGAATCTGATTGCTAACAAGAGAGAAAACTGCATTATTTGCAAAAGAAATATCAGAGTTTGAGTCTGAACAAAATGCATTACATAATTTGTATTGATTTCTAGGCAATAGTACTTTGGAGTCAATGGTCTCTTCTCATGAAGGATCTTAAAGAGGAGGACTTGATGATTTCTGGAAGTCCCTTCCAAACCCTACAATTCTGTGATAAAAAAAATATGTTTTCTACCCCTAAATTTCAAACTACTGTAACGTAGCTGACAACACTTGCCCTCAGTTGACAAGAGGTGAAGTTGGGGCACATGGGAAAGCTATGGCTATATCTGAAGTGCAGTTGTGAGTCCCTAAACTTCTGTGTTTGTGGTGCACCCTGACTGGTAGACATGGAGCACAGTCCAAGAGGGGAGCAGAGACACAGGGTGACATATAATCTCAGCCTGTCCAGATGACATGTTGTGACTTTTGTTCAAAAAAAGATCCTGGGTTCTGATTTAGCAGCCAGCATGGTTCTGCAGAAAACAGAGGACTTTTTTTGCAGATGGGAAACATTTTGGTCAAAAACTGTATTTTTAAATAGTTCCAATGCTGCAGTGTTGAACAACCCTTTCTGCTACTGCTTGGTTTTGTATATTCATTAGTGTCACAACTGTGACTCTCAATACAGAGTAGCACTGCACATTCATTTCAAGTTACTGGATGAAAAATTACCTGAATGCATCCAATACCATATGTACCTATTGATTAAACTTAATTCAAGCGCGCTCCCAGGTATCCGCCACATGAGCCATCAGGGCTCATTGAAAATAATTTGTCTGACAATTTCAAGATTAATGAGCATTTTTCAGAACGTTTTAGCATTTTTAATGGATGACTATTCAGAGTTTACAAAATAGTAACCTTGGAAAGCTGGACTGGTCACAGTGATAAAACATTGGCAGCTGAAAAAAAAAATGCAAATTACAACTTAAAACAATACTTTAAGTTCAGCATGTTTGCTTAGGCCTTTGCTGTCCTCTCTCTGGAGTGGTCAGCAGCTGGACGTGTAAATGGCTAAGCAACAGATTAGCCACTGAACAATGTTTTAATTTCATAATGCTCAACAAACTTTATAGTTCCGTAAGCCTCACAGTATGAAGTCCCAGGTCTCTGGCTTGACCAAAGTAGTCAGCAAAGTGAATCTAATTTTGCCCTTGATAAATATGCCTCTCCATTTAACACAGTAGGCTCCAGACCTCCACGGCGTTGCCCCAGTTTCACAGAGGCCTACAGGCAAAATACCGCGTAACAGAGATCCTGGGCCAGGGCAGGGGAAAAATGGGAGAAGCCGTCTGTATGTTTGGGATATAGGGACAGACAGAAGAGGCACTGTCAGCGAGAGAAAGTGGCCTTTGAAAGTCACTATGATGAACTGCATCTATAAGAAACGTTTGCAAGGGCCTTCCTGAACTCACTGTGTTGTGCAGAGATGGAGGAGTATCAAGTACAGACCATACGACCTCGGGCAAAGAAGGAAGTAGACATCTCTGAGGCTCTTTGGATGGATTGATACTCCCACGGCACCAGAAATAAAATGAGCTATTTCACATGTCAAAGGATAGAGTACCTGCCAGAGTCTCCCTAAATCAAAGCACAAAACTCTCCAGGTATATGAAAGAGAAGCAGAGAAACCTGAAATGGAATCCTCCCCTGGAGCTGTGAGAAGTGTGTGCCAGCAGAAGGATAGGTGGTCAGAATAGAGCTTTATTTCTGAGGTCCCTACTGTTTTGAATAGCTCCTGAACTACCTCAGGTAACTAAAATGAGTTACAAAATTCTGTTACCTGGACAGAAGGAAAACTATGCATTGAATGAAATATACGTATACGGGACAGACAAAAATAAAGTGAAAATACAAAGATACCTAGGGCTGCCCAAGGATGCCTAGTCTTGTAACATGTTAATTATTTAGCTTCCATTTTTGCTGCAGAAGATGGGTGATTAATCTCCTTCATTTTTGTCAAAAGTACAATGTAGAGAAAAGTATGATGTTATTTCTGAAGACAGCAACATGTAACAGAGAGATGAAAAACTGAAGGTTTCATGGGCAGTTTTTCTGCAAGTTTCTTTTCACATCTTAAACACAAGAAGCAAAGCTTCAACCTTCAGCTGTGACTGAGAAGTACTTAATGCAAAGTAGAGTCCAAGCCTGCAAAAATGCCCGCTGTATCCCCTTGGTCCTAGGCTGATCTGGTGCCCCCCCAGTCTGACACTTAAATACATGAGCTGTAAATGCCTCAAGGGGAGATCACTATGTTTAAGCCAGACTCACTTTTATTTTCCTCTATTGGCTTTTCCCATAAGCAAAGGAACTGTTTGTCTCTGTATCAGCAAAGAGCTTTTTACACATGCACTGCTTCCAATGTCTTGTCCCCACTGTCTGTATAAATGTATTTTTTACATTAACAGTGCCATTCTTTACCACTATTATATCTTGGTGTGCTCCAGTGTTCAGGGAGTATTCATTTGGGATGATGCTGTTAGCAAGTGCTAAACAATTAAAAAAAAATAGATCAACCCAGCATTGCTTTCTTTACTCAGTTTCAAAACCTGAAATGTCTCCTTTGCTGCAGCACTGGAATACATTTGTTCTAGTTTGAGCAAACTTATTAAGATTTAACCTTGTAATGCCAGATAATTCATAAAACAGGCCAGAATTTTTCTCAATGATCTGGCTCAAAAATTCTGTAGGAAGTGTTTAAAGTGCCAGTACGTAGGTGCTGGGACAGTACATATTAGTCTTGCTAAAAACACCCCTTGTCATGTAGCATGTTCAGCCTTTCTGAGGTAAAAATGCCTTCACAATATCCCATATTGAGTAACAGTTTTAAGTTGCATATTTAGACACTACGTACCTTGTTCATCTCACATTCCTAACAGAAACAGAGAACATACCAAAAGACTAACTTACCCCAAATTTAATCTCTGTGATTCAATAAATACATTTTTCTGTACAAACAAATAGTATATCATTCTGGAAGTGCAGCTATTGAGCCTATTTTGGCCATGCATTTTTAAGTATCTCTACCATTTACTCCTGATCACCACAGAGCCAGGAACAATTTTAGCTAGTTTAACCTAAAAGCTCATTCTGCTATGTAAGAATTGTACAGCAGCATGAAGCTTTTCTCACTGATACTTACACGTGTTGAAGACACCAGCAAAGACCCAGCACTGTCCATATCGCACTGGTTGCTTAGAACTGTAATATTCCAAGAGGATGTCCACACTTCCTGTCCAGGCTGAAGGTGGGACTCCATAAGCATAGAGATTGTCCCATGATCCAGCCAAAACACCATTATCATCCTTGGAATTGATCTGTAGACAAAGGAAATGAGTTTTAGGGGTGTCAGAAGCTGAGTTATAAAGAGATCTTTAACCCAGCAGACCAAGATAGGACAAGAGAGACTGAATATAGCTAAGTTCAGGCTGGAAATAACACAGAAATGTTTAATTATGAAGGTAGGAGATGAACAGAACAATCTTGCTAAAGGCCGTGGTGGATTCGCCATCACTGAATAATTTTGAATCAAGGTCAGGCACTTAAAAATAATAGTGAAATTAAATCACCACAATGAGCATTCATGTTGCTACTTTAGTACATTTTATTAACACTATACATGCTCATTGCTATGTATTTTTAATAAACACGATCAGTTTTAAATTCATAAGCAAGCCTCAGAAACGTTAAATCAGCTTCCTTCCTAACATTATCTGTTTTTCTCCCTGTACCAGCCCAGATATTTTAATGCAATCACTCCCAATTTACAGTGGACAGAGAGAAGAATCAGTCCACTGTTATTTTTAGAGTGGAAACTAATTTCTTCAGTCCTGCACATGTGAAAATAAGAAGGAATATTCTGTGCAGGTTTTCCCTTGGTAAGATTACACAGAGCATGGAGTTTTGCTGACTAATGGCTATACTGATAGGCATTAACGAGCAATACATCTCCAAGCCGCAATTTGAACCAAACCAGTTGAGGCTGTGCAAAAAGCTCATTCGCTCTGTACCTTTTAATTATGTTAATGTGGAACAGCTACATGCCAGCCAAATAAATCACAATTCTCATTTAAAAGCTTTTGGCTGGATTAACTACTGTTTTATAATTAGAAAATCGACTTCCTGTGAACCTTAGGACTGAATGAGATAAGTATTCAGAGTCATAACCAAAGGGTTAAGGGGTTGTGCCCATCTCTCACTGTTGTGGAAAACATGCCAAGAAAAGAGGCACTTCAAGGACAGGACAGCATTTCGATCTTCAGGCTCTCTGCTTGTTGTGAGGAGTGGAAGAAGAGGGGCAACTCTGTTTGCTTTGGAGCTTTCCGAGCTTCAGAAAAATCACAGCATGGGGGCAGCACCCCAGACAAGCTCAGCTCTACTACATAACATCTTGAACAGGAATGAGGGTAAGGAACTCAGGTGAGGCCTCGATAGCTCTTGTCCACTTCTTACTGCTGTTCAGATTTCAGATGACCAGAACTCCAACCCAGCTGTGGCCTAATCCTTCAGATACCTGAAATCCACTGACTCCCACATTTCCAACTGGAAACTTCTCCACCTACATAAAATGGCTGACTGGCTCAAAACATATGCCCATTTTGGGTTCATAACATTATGTTCTTCTGCTCTTAGGGTTTCCAGGGAATCTGCATGAGGGACTATTTAAGAGACCAGTGATTAATGCAGCAATTGTAAAGGAATCACATTCAGTTCTTATTTCTGTCGCAAGAGGTCTGAAGCCACATTTCTAATGTCTAGAGTAAAAGAAATGATCAGAAGGCCAAAACAAAATAGGGAAGTAGAGGTGATCTCAGTCTTCCTTGTTGAAGCTATCCTACTTAACTTTGTGTTACGCAGAATTCATCATGTGGCACTAACTGAGAGGCTAGACATCCTGCTTCAATGTTATCTAAGAGTTAACTCTCCTACAGTCTGGGTAAATGCTGTAATAAGTGGGTCATCTTCAGTGGTCATGTTTTGTGGAGACTCTTTTAGCAGCTGGCCTGGGAGAACATCTAATGATAATAGCTCAATGACCAGCATACTGTTCTGGGAACCAGAAGGTATCAGTTCAGACCTCCAAAAGGCAGACAGGAGTGGACTCATTCTGGATGAGTCTTCCAGTTTGAATATTAGAGATGGGGCTGCAGTTACACGCAGTAAGACTCCTGATGCCTGACAGCTGAAAGGAATTGAGATGCAGGAAGCCTTCTCCCTACTCTTTGCTTCTGGAAATTTTGGGCACTTCCATTCTGGTTATGGAAAGCTATATGGGCTCTGTACTTAAGAGCTCAGATCTCCTACTGCATTCTCCTGGAGCTAAGGTACCTCACATAAACAGTGTCAGCTTAAGGAGGCCATCTGAAGCTTGAAAATAAGGCATAGATCCGTCCAGCTTTGCAGTCTTAAGACCCTTTTGAGGTTAGGCAAATCTCAAAGTCTCTCAGTTCCTCATCCCAAATTTCACCCATCATGGTGCCCCACCATCCATGAAAGAAATAGCCTTCTCAATAATCTCAGCTAGCAAAAAATAAGCACAGTGTCATACAAAATGCTAGCATGCATGAAAATGCAACATTTAAAAGCGGCCTTCATGCCAATGAGGCCCCACTCTCAGGATGCTGAACTGACATAAAGATTCCACCTTTAGTGGAATGAAATAAAGTGCCAGACCCCAGAGGTCAGAATGGATAAAAGATCTGGCACCTGCTACAGTGAGGATGTGAGGGAACAGAGGCCATTAAACCAGCCTGACTTAGATTAGAGAGCCACTTCTGACACATCCTGGGCATCTATTGCATACCACTGCAGAGGCAACACGGCAGATTTTGATTGGGTTTCCACGCCCAGACAACTCCAGTTCTGCCTTGTCCATCAGGAAAAGGCAAGCATCCAGAATGTTTTCTTCAAACTAGATAAAAAGAAAGAAAGAGAGAAATGGAGGGCAAGTTAAGTCACACTTTATTCTGAAAAGCAAAGGCAAAGTTATTTTTCACTGTTGTTATAATAGCTGATCAGCTTCAAAATCAGTTGCTCAGGTCAAAGTTCTATGTATAAAATACAAGTTTTCTTCTAGAATAATTGCCCACGTGTAGCAAAAAAATGTGAGACACTTTAAGGGAAAAGAGAGCGTCATTTTCAATTCAAACTCAGTCCGGTTTCCAGAAGGTTAAAATGACAACATAGCCTTTCTGACAGGACATAAAATTTTAAGTGCTAACAAGTATATAATAGGAAGGTATTATAATAATAACTACAATAAGCTAGTCTGCTCGCTAAGGACTTCATGTCCTTCACAGATTCCAGACCTGTTAATTTCAGAACTTTTCTGATACATTCAGCACAACGCTAAGAAGTTGACCAATAAATGATTTACCACAGATAATATGAAGTTCAAATTTTAGACTGAAATAGTAAAATGTTTAAAATTAACAAGCCAATAGCTAATGAGATGGATTAATCCTGGTCTCTGAAACTTAGACATAAAAAATACCAAGTGACCTAAAGTAGTCTTCTTCAAAAATAGAGTGGAAAGGTACAGTTTCTTCGATCCAGCATGAACAAGCACAGGAATGAATTGAGGGCAGAGGTGCCTAAATAGACCAGAAACCATTTGTCACAGAACTTGCCCTGTGATGTATTTCATTTTCCTTAAGAGAAACTGCATAGCAAAGGAAAATATCTCTGTCCCCTGGAAAATGGTAGGGGACAAGGAAACACACATTTATAAAAAAACGTCTTCCAGTTTCATTGAAAACACAGTATTATATTAGCATTCAAAGCTGTAACAGAAACTCCATTCAGCTCGTCCCCTTGCCATATTCAGCTTTATGTCCTTCATTTGCATCCTTAGAGATATGGTTCATGCTAACAAGATTTTTGCTCTTGTGCCCAGCTGCAACTAGAGCTGTATTGATTTTGAAACCACCTCCAGCCTGGTTTAAGGCTTCTCAGCATATGAGGGTGATCTGAGTTTCGCATCCTGCAGAAGGCAAACAAATGCCCATGCCAAGCTGCTGGCCTGGTAGCATGGGAAAGGCAGAGGCAGGGTGAGGCCAGAGAGCTGAGGAGGAAGCGCTGAAGAATCAAGACAGCTGTCAGTGCTGCAAAAAAGATAGGAGAGATGCGGATAACATCCTCGGAGAGTCCATGCCTCCTTTGGCCTCTCCCTTATAGGTACCAGCTGAGCTCTGGCATAAATATAAAGAGAAGCACCTCTCTATTTCTTCACTCTCAGACTTTTTCTGTTCAAGAAACATTTTTTTTTTTTTGCCTGCTTGGCTCTCATTGCTCAGCAAACTGCCACAGTATCTATCCTTTCAAAAGAATCATGGAATCATAAAATGTCTTGGGTTGGTAGGGAACTTAAAGCCCACCCAGTCCTAATCTCTGCCACGGGCAGCACTGCCATCCAGCTCAGGCTGCCCATGGCCCCATTCAACCTGGCCTTGAACATGTCCAAGGATGGGACACCTACAGCTTCTCTGGGCAAAAAAAAAAAAAAGAAAAAAAGGGTAAAAAATGGTCTCCCCCCTGTTTATAAGCTCTTCTTAGATGCTGAAAGGCAGCAATGAAGTCACCTTGGAGCCTTCACTTCGCCAAGCTAAATGAGCCCAGCAAGCATCCTCTCTCCTCATACTGTTTTTCATCTCTTTCATGCAATCCAGCATTGAATTACTTTCTCTGGAAGTTTGTTATTATGTAGCCTTCTTGAGCAAAACTGAATTCACAGTGTTCAGGCAAGCAAGAAAGCAGGTCAGTGGCTCCAAATGTCCTACTCCTTGTATTGTATAATTTCCAGCAGGTTGAATAATTGTATGCTATTGGTCTCCACTCTACTCTAGTGATATGCCTGTAAGCAAAGTCAGGTGAATGGCAGAGCGGTGGAGACTCTGCTTCCCAAGGAGAACAGACAGACACTATAAACTCTGGGCCGTCATAGTGGCCCTTTCCTGCTTCAGGTTCACTCTTCTTTTGGCCTGGCTAATGATTTATCACTTTCACTAGGATCAAAAAGAGCTTTCTGTTCTTCAAGTCATCAGCAGCGTCTAAGAGCTGACTTAAATCAATAAGAAGTTTAGCTTGCAAATTAAATCTCTCTTATCTACAGTTTATGAGACACTGTCAATCTTGCCAGCACATACTGGAAGACTAAAGAGGAAAGAAATTACTATCAGAGTTGCTGTCTTTCACCCTAGCATTTACAAAATGATATAAATGACTGTGAAGTAATTGGATTAATAGGAGGAGGGACACAGGACAGGCTGTAAAGTCTAGCTGCCTTATGCTAATGCAGCAGTGTAGGATGCAAAGCACCATAACATGGGCTAAAGCCAGTTTTGCTTTCCATTACTTCTTAAAAACATTAAATCAAACTAAATTACTTTCCTGCCTTCAATCGTGGCATGAAAATAATATCTAGAGGGAAGCAGAACAGACACATAGCACACATAAGGCTGAGTATCCTTGATACATCAAATGAAACAGCAGCCAAGACAAGCAGGCAGCCAGGACAGATCAACAGACGTAGGCCAGGCACTGGCACTGTCTGCTTGACACAGACTGAAATGGGAACAACCCAAATTCAGGACAAAGGATTGGCAAAGCCACCTGGAAAAGTCTGTGGAAGGAAGACAAGGCATGGGAAAACACAGGAAAAGAGGCTCTGCCTGGACATTGGTTTGCATTGCATTATAGAGCAGTGCATTTAAGTGAGACTGGCCTTCAGTGGACATTCCCCTTTGATGCTAACCTTCTTCTAGTAGAAAAACTTCAAACCAATTAAATCCAAGTAAGAGGGGCTGCATCACCTTTTGCACTGGTGGAAGTAGGTCTGTGTTTCCCATAGCCGGTCACAGGCAGTGATCTAACCTTAAGAAATGCATATACCACAAAATTTTGTTTGTGCTTTGGGCTCACGTGGACATGATTAAGCTCAACATGACAACAAGAGCACTATGCCCACCTGCTTCATTTTACTTTTCTCAAAAAAAGAAAAAAAAAAAAAAAAGGCAGAGTTAAAAGATCAATACAGCACCAATATAGCTTCCAATATTTCTTAGCTGGAGAGTTCCTATGTGCCCAGTTTTCTTCTAAAGCAAAATTTCTCCTCAATCTCCCTTGGGCTTTTCTGAGTGACTGGCAATTTGCACACCCTTAGAAGAAAGGAATTGCAGTCATGTTACAAGGAACATTCTCATCCCGAATCCTCAGTCATTATAGCCATGTTTCAAGTGGTTGTTGTGTTTTCTTCCTGGGTCCATTTTTCTTGCCTCTCCTCCTCTCAAGTTGATGCTGCTCATTAAAGAGGGCAGCTGTGAAAATGATCTTCCACTAATAATCCAGTTTTGAACTGCATGTTCCTTTTTAATTTACAATCCTCAGTTAAAGATTTCAGCTGTCAATGCTCCTAGTTTTAACGTAAAAGATTGCTAAAAATGAGGAAAGCTTATGTTTTAATGGCTGGGAATTGGTAGGGTAGCATCAGGGAAACCATCCTCTATCACTCTGAACCAGAAGAATATTTCTCCATTGTGTTTAGATGTAAGATGTCCATTTCACCCTCACAAAAATAGTGATGGGCTGTGGGATAACTCTTGGCTTTGATGCACTTGCCACACTAAGCTGTCACATGGGCAACAAAATGTGCACCACCACCGAGGGTGGAAATCAAGCTCTCCAGTGCCAGACAACACCGGAAGGAAAAGCGTATGACAAAGGGATGTGGAACAGCTTTAACCTCCCAAACAGAGCTGCCTCCCAGCAAAACCAAATAAATAATGCAGTTTCTCAAGGGAGGTTGGTGTTTGTGTCAGGAAGGTGCTGGATTTGCAGAATATAAGCACCTCAGGCCAAACCACTATAGTCCATAAATTCAGCGTCTTAGGATATAAATCCAGCAGCTGGTTGAAGCAACATCTTCCATTTCCAGCCACTCGTTCTCCTCTCTCCCTCCCCTACATCTGTCACAGAGTGAATCCTAAATGTAGGAGCAGAGCATGCCTGAATAACAACCCAAGGAAAAAAAAAGAAAAAAAAAAAGAAAAAAAAAGAAAAAAAAAGGAGCTGCTTGTTCAGCTAGGTCAGTTCTCTGGTCTGATTCATTGCACGGCTGTTTAAACACTTGCAGGGGGAAGGAAGGGCCAGGAGGGGGCATTTTTGGTCAACTTAAATGCACACCCAGCTTTGGCCTCAGGATCTGGTTCTTCCTATCTCTCTCAGATGCACCCTCAGTTTATGGAATTGTTTCTCCCTCACCTTATTTAAGGATTATTTTTAGCTTAGACAGGATCTCTTTCAAACCCCACAAACACAGCGCTGAGACAACCAGTGGAAAGGTGCAAAGGCAGGAGCTACCTAAAGCAGCACTGCTGTGGGAAAAAACATGGAATTGCATCCTTAAATGAGGAAGCAAGAGCAATGTCAATTCAAAGAGCTCTCTAGTGCAAGCACAGTGGCAATCCAGCCAGCTTAAACTTTGAGTTAGTCTTCAGCTGAGGGACAGAAAGCAAAGCAAGAGGGTTCCTTCTGCAAGGCTGTGCTGGGGATATGCAGAGTGCTGAAGGGATCCATCACTGTGGCATGAAGGAAGTACTTCAATATTTTCTTAGTGGTGCTGATGTGAAAAACCAGGATGTAAGGTGAGCCATGTCCAATAACTGCCCATTGGAATACCCCTGAGTGAAAATTAGCTTTGCTAATTTTGATGTTGCTATTGAATGCTATTTTCCCATTCTCACACAACAACTTAACTCTTTCATCCCTCAGGGACTTTCAGGCTGTCTAGTGATACAAACAGATTGAGATAAAACAGGTAAGCAGTAAGGGATAGATAACACTGAAGGCATATCACTACCACACACCAGCCAGCCAGGACTGTGCTTTCCACATCTTCAGAGGGCTGAAGTTGTCAAGTCCAGATAGCAAAGGGAGAAGTTCCCCCCTTTGTCACTGTGGTAAGGAAATGTAAAACTCTGGGACCAAACCTCTGTTTGTAACAGGAACCCTAAGAAAAGCTGACTTCTGGAAAAATGAGAATTACTTCCACTTCTGCTAGAACTGAAAGGAAGAGTCAAAAGGGAATACAACCTCTTGCTAAATAAATAAGCTTCTTGTCTTTCACCAAATCAGTCTGATCCTAAAGCAGCAGTTCACAGCAGCAGAAACGCTGCTGCATAGTGAAAACCTCAGCTAATGATTATAGCTTTCAACAGGAAGCCTCTTAGTATCTGAAATGTGCCCCTACAACAAGATCTTTAAATACTAGCTATTATAACATTGCTTTTCTGGATTAGGTATATACCCATATCATACAATTTTAAAAAACTATACCCCCTTGTGATTCTGAAGTAGAGACCAATAATGCACTCCAGAGCCCACAGTCTCAACCACAGTCTGCTGTCGATTAAATTCATTTGCTGTCCTACTGGGAGCAGTCAGAGAAGGTCTAAATAGCTCACCTGACCGTAACTCCAGCTTCTGAATTTCACTTCATTGACGTCTCCATGGAAAACAATACCAACATCATTCAAGACATATTCTTCCCTTTCCTTCTCGTCATCCAGGTACACGGCATCCACTGTATCAATTTATCCAAAACAAACATCAACGTTGCCATTTAGATTTTATATCGGGAAGATGAAAATAATTAGCATATACTACAGCCATATTGGATGAGATGTGCCCATCACCCATCAAACAAAACATCACTTGCTTCAAGAGAATACAAACATGAGGAGATAGTGACCCTGATTAGAAATATGATACACAACTTAAAAGCATGAAAGATGCAAAAACGCTGACAAATCCTGCTTGTTTTCTCAAGATCTGAAAACTATGATTAAAATGTCACATCTTATCAAGAGTTTTATGATTACTCTGTACCACTAATTTAAAAGTTGGGGCACCGTGATGCAATTCTGCATCTGTACAAACAGATCAAAGAACAATTTCTAGCCTATTAAGATTAACAGAAAACAGATCAAATCAAGAGATCTAAAGAAAAAATCTGTAGCACATTACAAAAATTGGAATACACCTTTATAGTGCATTAACAGAAGAGTTTGATTGCTTTTCCTGTACATAAGTTATTGACTGCAGTGTTCCTCCCTGATGTAGCTTGACCGACCAGCCAATATGAAATTACAAAATAACACAGAACCACAAAATCATACGGGTTGGAAGGGACTTCTGGAGATCACCAAGTTCAATCTCCCTGCTAAAGCAGTTCCCCACAGTAGGTTGCATGGGGAAGTGTTCAGGCGGGTTTTTGGATATCTTCATGGACTGAGACTCCACAATGTCTGTGGGCAGCCTGTTCCAGTACTCTGTCACCCTCAAAGTAAAGTTCTCTCTCATGTTCATATGGAACTTCCTGCGTTCCAGTTTGTACCCATTGCCCTTAGTCCTGCAAGTGGGCATCACTGAAAAGAGCCTTGCTCCACCCACTTGACACCCACCCTTTAGATATTTATCAGCACTGATAAAATCCCTCCTCAGTCTTCTTTTCTTCAGACCAAACAGACCCAGGTCTCTCAGTTTGTCCAAATGAAAACTGGAAGCATTTGGAAGACATCTTCATCAAAACATATATCAAACATACATCCTAGATTCGCTTAATATGAGTCAAGAGAATATAAGTGGATCCTCATCCTGCAAAGATTCAAATACTTAAATAACCCACAGTTAATATATATAAATAACCCTGAACTACATGAAACTATTCAGATGTTCATGGCAGACACGTGACGTTAGAACAGTTGAGGATTTATTTCCTGTGCCAATAATGGTATTTTGTGACTAAGAGGTACCACTTAACATGTAATGGTTTGGGAATTAATTAATTTCAGGAAATCAGTAATGTGGCACCAGATAACAAATTAAAGAGAAGCAGTAACCTGTGAATGTGTGATATAAACAAGTGCAAAACTGCCACTTACCACTGTCATAGAGGCTTTCTTCTGCATCTTACTACAAATTACTATGGGATTATTTCACTTTAAAAGCCTATTGATTTGTTGCATTTTGTTGAAATTCAAATCAGATTTATACTTCCTTCTAAAACTCATCTTCAAGAGCTTCTTCTCCATTTACCCACAGAACTGCAGTTCAGCTGAAAACAGCTAAAATCTGAAAAATCAATGGCAAAACTCACACTGACTTCAAGTAGGTGAAGAGTTTTGCCATTCTGTACACCTGACTCTGTTGGAATCTTTATTCTCAGATGGATATAAATACATCTACATATGCAGAAGGGATTATGTATATATATATAACACCAAGAGCTTCACACTGGTATTCAAGCAGGTATTGGATGTAAGGAGGATTTTTTGCATTTGAAGAGATCAGTGCTTTCCATTGTGCTTTTGACAAGGTTGCAATACAGGCTCAGCAAGCTACATCAGAATCAGAGCAGATGGAAAAGCAGCAGGTTTTGCCTGGCTTTCCCTGAGGCAGGCAGGTCTGAGGCTCCCTGTGTAGAGGCAGGGTGCTACATATCTGGCCTCTAAAGGCTGGGTTGTAACAAGGGCTGTTCATAAGCCTGGCACTCCCTACAACCAAGTCAGTCTGCACCCAGGCACAAAGCAGATCATGAGTTTACAATGAGAGGATACCAGGTGACAGAAACAGTGTTAAGACCTGACAGTGGATCCAAAGGCTACAGTCATTTATGCCAGCAGTGACATGCATACTTTGGAAGCACCATATTACACGACTTTCTTGAGGTCCACCTCCCACCTCTAAGCAAGTTCTGCACAACATCCCATCAAAAATGTTGTGGATGTTGCAAATCACACAAGGCTCTGTGTCATTAGGATGGATGTGCCTGATTTGCTTATGGAGCAATTACATGTATTGACTCACTGAGCTCTGGGTTTTATTGGAGCATGTGTATACAAACAATACAGAAAATGCATTTCAAGGAGTACAACTCACACCTGCTTCAGTACAGTTATGCATTCAGCAGAGTGTGTGCACATGCCGTCTTGACAGCTGTTGTTTTCTTTCAGGGATTATAAATATCAATATTGATCTCGTTGGTATCAATTGAGATGCCTACGTTATTTCAAGACTGCGTGATCTTTGCTAAATCAGATGAAAATTGATTAACTTCTCTGTCAATTATTTTAAATTATTTCTATTTTTTGATAAAGTAAAACGGGCCTCTGTGTTCCACATAAAAGCCAGCTGCTTTGATTTTTGACAGCTCTCACTACCCTTGAGAACTGTTTAGAAGAAAATACGAGGCATTTGTGACTACTTTGATGCTAAGCATGCTCTACATAGTACAACTCCTAATTATTTGGTGCAAGCAGAATTTCACATCTGACAAACAGAAGAATTCCAAGAAAAAGCACCAGGCTTGTTTGTTCTTTTTCTCTAGCATTTTAAGGTTTTTCTACTTACTTCTTTTATCCTGGGAAATTACTAAGACCCTAGCTAGCAGTGCTACAAAGAAGCAAATAATCCTCTATGCTTCTTTGTTTGAAGACAGATAAGGTGAAAACACATTCCACGTGAGGACAGTAGTGCAGGTGAGAAATCCCATTGTACAAAAGCTCATGCAATCATAGAATCACAGAATGGCCTGGGTTGAAAAGGACCACAATGATCATCTAGTTTCAACCCCTTGCTACATGCAGGGTCATCAACCACCAGACCAAGCTGCCCAGAGCCACATCCAGCCTGGCCTTGAATGCCTCCAGGGATGGGGCATCCACAGCCTCCCTGGGCAACCTGTTCCAGCGCTTCACCACCTTCTGTGTGAAAAAAGCTCCTTATGAAAGAAGTAAGAAGTACAGAGAAGCTATGTCCCTTTAGGAAAGTGAATAGCCATGAGAGGCCCCTCCTTGGTACTGATGCACCTGGGAAACTCCTGCCCTAGCAGAGCAACCACTGGAGCTGGAAATGTCATCTTCTCCTGCACACAGTGACAGCTGAGCACAGCAGAACCTGCAGATGGATGAAGTTGGTTTGCCTTCAGGACCTGGCCTTCCTTTAGCATGGAACCTGGACAACTTCTTGCTGGGAGGAGAACACCACTGTGGCAAACGCAGCAAGAGCTAAAACAGGTATCTACAAAGTCCACTCCACTTTGGATGATGCTGTGCAATGGCTGGTTCTTGCCTCTGTGAGTGTAGCAGAAATATGAAGCTCTGAATTTGTGAATTTTTTGGAATCTACGGTAGAAGACATACAATTTAATATATGGCTACAAATAACAGAAAATGTTACAGAGTCAAACTTGGATGCCTGATCACATTTAATGTTTTAGAGACAGTATAGTAGGCATATTGATGATGGATAGTGATGGGTGAACAGTTAGACTTGATGATGTTAATGGTCTTTTCCAACCTTAATGATTCCATGATTCTGTGATATTAGAGATGTCCAAAGGCAACCACATGCTACTAATCCTCAAACTGTAACAGGATGTTTGAAGGACATGGGTAGCAGAGTCAACTGAGTCACCAAGACTGCAACATATTTAATTGCTCTAATCTAAAACACTTTGCAGAAAGCTTCTGTGAATGAAACATAATCCTCAGTCCATGAGTCTGCAACTTACAGACACACTATGCATCTCCACCTAGGAGAGCCACAAGAGACATGCAGAGTCTTTTCCTGATAGACACTGAGTGCTCCCAAGCAGAATGTCGCTGGCTCAGCACCTCCTCAGAGAGAGGAGCTCACAGTACCTAGATCAAAGGAGCCATTCTCCACTTTCATGTAGTCTGATATTGCTAAGAATCAAGTTATACTCAAATAAGTTATCCTGAATGACTTGCCATTTGTATCTCCTGTTTCAGAACTGAAGAGGGCTCTGTGTGCCCAAGAGCATGTCTGTTTTTCTCTGTTATGTCAGCTGAAGAGAGGATGTTGCCTATCCTTGCAGGCTTTACTTTGCTTATTAACTAATGCTAATTTCACATGAGTATCTGAAATGCCAATCCACTTGTTTGCTGAATTCCAAAATGTTTGGGGCAGAAGCACATCACTTTGCAAGATCGGGCCCCACATCTGCATCTGTAAAGTATTCTTGGTGATAAGCCTTAACCATATAAAAGCATCTGATGATTTTGGAAGCAAAGAACAGAGGCTGCTCTGTAGCTTAGATGGTAAAGCATGCAGACTTGCTCTGAAATAGTAGAAAAAAAACACATCTCAGCCTGGGAAATTATGTCAAAACTGAATTACAATGAAAAAAGAAGTAACAAGAAAGGGCATAAATGCCTCTGTCTTAAAGAAAAGCTCACACAGACACATTGATGTTTCTCTAAAATGATGAGTTGGGTAGCTGCACTAGACACTGATGGAGCTTGTACTCTGCCCCCTGTGATAACAATCCCCGTTCACTCATTCCCCAGCCTTCTCTCTTTTTAATGAGGTTTTTTACTCAGACTCTGCTTCTTAACTATTAACCCAGCAAACAAGTCCAGGAGATTTTCAAACTATTGTTTTCTGTGCAGTTTAACTGCCTGAGTTTTTATACCCTTTTGTCATTCCACTGCACAAACTTTCCCAGCCAGAGGACAAAGCATGGAGAAATACTGCCCTTGCTCTTCTAACACAAAGGAGAAAAGGCAGACACAGGAACCAATTAGTCCAAACTGCTTAGGAGGGAAAGAAAGCAAATCCACATCCAAATGAAGCGCACAAAAAACGAAAACTACAATAGTTAGCAAGGGTCAGGAATTGAATCCATTGTGGCACACCTGGACACGTAAGCTGGGGACAAGGACATGATGTTCTGCGGGTGACCCCCACAGCACAGCCTTGCTGCTCTGAGTCTCTCTTTTGCCTTCTTGCAGTAGACATCTCTGTTAGCCTTCTTGATGGATGCTGCTGCATGTTCTGAGCTCTACATGTGAGCTCCCACACCATGGATTTTGTTTTGCTGGCTTTTGATCCCATTCAGCTCAGGAAGTGAGTGCATACAGAGATATGAGTAGGAGATGTGAATGAGGGATTGATTTTCCCCTTCTTACTGCTCACCTCATCCTCAAGTCAGCTTCTGTGGTCCCCATCACACATGCTGTGGCAGCCAATCTCCCCCCACCACATTTTTTCTACATTTTATGACTGCCCTCAGCCCCAACTGGCTGCATAATTGTCATGAGGTGACTTAAAATTTTCCTCTGTGGTTTTTTCCTGTTTAAAGAGATGTTGAGCCACGGCACAGTCACTGTGCTGGCTAACAAGCTGGCTGTTGAGAAACCAGGACTCCACCCAAAGGATTCTCTGCCTTGGGGTGGAGAATCACACCTCCGGAGCTGGAACTGGCACATGTTGATGTTGCCTTTAAAAACACTGAGAGGCTTTGTCTGTTCACCAGGGTGTCACATTAGTTCATTTAGCTTTGCCAATGATCCCTCGCTTTCTGTTACCCACTCTTCTTACTCCCAGAATAAACTGACTATGTGTCTCTAAGGTATGCAACTCTATGTTGCTTTCAAAAGTCCCTCATGGTGCTGTGAGGCCTTGGGCCCTGCCCTTCCCATTCCTGCTTAACTAACTCCACTTTACTCAGCATTAACATATATCTTCCTAAATAATGCATAAGCTAATCACTGCTTATATTCCCTTGGACCAGGGGTAAGTAATGATGTCAGCACAAATTACGTACTGACAGTAGTGTGGCTGAATAATGGGCTCTATTAATAATGCTAATCTTACTCATCACATGGTAAGACGGCCCGTACTCGGTATGGGGTTATTTGATGAAAATCCTCTGGTAAAAAATTGAAGGATGATGGAAGGATGGCAGGAGGCTATATAGTTAGCTGGTGACCTAAATATACAGCAGTACGTGTGCCAGATATGGAGCCTTACAAGCATCAGAAGCTGAGACACAGTGCTAAATCCTGTCAGAAGGCTGGTGAACCTAGCCTCACCAGTCCTCCTTGCCTTCTCCTTAAAACCACACTTTGAGTTCATTGGGTAAAAGAGCAATTCTGTCAGCAGAAGGGCTGATTTTACCTTGGTCCAGGGAGATTTAAAAAACAAAAGTTCTTTAACACTGGATTACAAAAAGGGCTAATTTGCAAAATGTTCTGTTCGTCAAAGAGGACAAGGTTGCTGGTAATTAGTCACTGCTAAGGGTAAGTTATAAGGTCAAATCCTGTGTAACAGCAAGGTGCCACCAATCATGTTGTAGCAGACTGAGTGCATCCAAACTGTGCAGGACAGCAGCTTCCACTGAGTTTTAGCAGGCTTTTGGGCTGCAGATGCTCCATCCTAAAATGTGGCAACCAGCAATGTAATTCAGCTGTTGTGAATGGGGTGCCACTACATCCTACCCCACAGCAAATCCTGGGAAAAAAACATGCCCGTACTGATTTATCTGTTTAAGGAACATGGCGGCAGGCAGAAGGTTCACACTGATGATTATTAAAACCAGAGCAAAGCCTTGGGATATATTTAATACCAAAAATGGAGCAGTGCCATGCCAGCTATGTTGGTAAACACAAACTCAGCCTCCTGAAACTACAGAATGCTCCTGTAGCCCCACTCACAAGGCAACCTCAAGAGTGTAATACTTAGCTCTGGGCAATTAGGTAAATGTAAACAGATCCTTTCTGTATTCATACAGACTGGCCTCCAACCACCTTGGCACAAGTTCCCTTTCCTGGACTATACCCTCTCACAAACCAATGAGCCCAGTGGAGAAAACTGTGAGTCTTTGACACTGATAAGAAACTACTTACATTGGCACCAGGGGTTGAACAATATATAAGTGTCAGTTGCTGAGTTCCTGTGTGTTCTGATGATGCCATAGGGAGTCCAGATGGCAACGTAAAGGCGAAACTTCCCAATAATGCAGGTAGCAGAGGACATGATGGACAGGCGAATGGAGTTGTTGTCTTTGTGGGTAATCTTGGCTCCCCACTCTCCAGGTTTCAGCACATCACCTATGAGGATCGGGATGTAGGTGCCTTTGTTTGGTTGTGGGTAGCGACCTGGGGAGAGAAGGGGATAACTCCATGATGTGGTTCATCTAGCTTTAGCATCTCTTCATTTACCAACAGTCTTCTGTCCCTTTGTGTATTTCCTACAGAGATGGCAAATGTTAGTGGGCAGGAACCACCTGCCTTCCGTAGAGCTTTCAACAGTACTTAGTTGCTGGTGCTGCTGCCACAGAAGGGCATACACCACTTCCCAGCAGGCAGCCCATGCAATGGATACTCCCCAAGAACCTTGTAGATGGTGTGGGAACCAACTCCGGATCCCCAGAGTCTAGATGAACATACCTTGGCTGGGTAGCTAAATGGTCTGTGCAAGCAGTGGGCCCCAAAGTATGACACACCTTCAAAGTACTGCTCGTATTTTGCCTTACAGTCAGACAAATCATGACCGAAAGAAACTTGTTTTACTCTGTCAAGCATAAAAAGCATCTAGACAGACAAACTAAATGTAAACATGTACACTGCTAGAATTCAAAATAGATGGGAAGGATTATACCCTTTGAGCCTGAGGTAGAGTCAAATTATAACTGGAATCCAACCAGTGCTATAGATTAAAAAAAATGCTTGCAAGAAGGCTGAGTTCCTTATGTCATTCTCAAGTCTGTTTTTCATTTCAGATTTTAGGCTTAAAGTTTTATTCTCATTCGCCGGTACCGTAAGGAAAAGCACAGAGGGAGAGACAGACTTCTCTATTTTTCATTCCTACTATTTTAGAGCTTAAAAATGTAATGCACAAGGGCACTGATTTTCCTGTTTGTTTATTTTTATACAGCTGATGCAGAGATAGACCCAGATCTGAACACTGTCACATTCTGGGAAAGGGCAACTCTAACTTTGAATGTGAAGCTTGTGATCTGCCTGACCCCCCATGTTTCTAAGATATTTGGGATTACTGAGCTTCATCCAACAGGTTATTCAGAACACAAAAACTTCCATCTTGCAGATTTTCAGTGCACATAAATATCCCAGTTTCCCTAAAGGCCAGGGATGCTCTAACCCATGAAACCCCTTCAGATCAGCAAGGGATACAACTGAAAGAAGAGGCCTACAGAAGAAAGACGGACTGGAATAAGAGAGTAAAATCAATAGAAAACAGCAGAAGATAAAGCACTGGACACTTCAAAAATAAGTCTTCAAAGGAAAGACTGTCTACAGAGAAGAGCCTATAGAGGTAACAGATAAGAGTATTTCCTCTGCTAACAACTGTGATCTGAGAGCTGAACACATTCTTGTTCTTTGTAGCAGAACTGGGTATGACCCAGCTTGTCTCCCCAGTAGATGTTTTGTTTCTAGTTTTGGAATAGTTGTCATGGGTTTTTTAAGCAGTTCATGCAAACAAAGCTGCAGAGCAAATCAAGTAAATGAACTGATATCCTTTAAAACCACTAACAAGTGCTACTTTTATTTAAATATCTTCCTCATCTCTTCCAAAAAGGAGGGAGAGAAAGATTAGTATTTTTACGTGCTTAGGAACCCATGCTGTCACTTACACTGAAGGTTGCCTGCTGTAGGAGCCTACCAGGGACAGAATGCACTGCACTGTGACTCCGCTCCCACATGACCATGCCTTATGTGTGCTGGAAATCAGGAAGCTGAAGAACTCCTCTGCAGTGAGTCTGCCCATAAGAACAATACAGGTTCCCAAAGAAGCCATGGGGCCTCTGCAATGCATCTTTATGGAAACCTGCACCTCTTACCAGGCTTCGCAAGGTACTATATCTCTGGTATCTGAAGACTCAATGTCTAAAATCCCATTTACCATTCAAAACAACAAAGGTCCTCTTTCATGCAAAGCCACAAGATACCTTTATCTATCTGCTGCTTGACAAAGGAGCACCTGTAGCTGCTGCTGAGAAGTAAGCAACATTCTTTCAGCCCAGCGTCCATGCCAGTCCCCACAGCTGCATGCAGAAAGACAGAGGCCACTGTACTGTCCTGCATGGGATATTGCCTACATACCTGCAGACTTAGCAGGGATGCCAGGGAAGGAATATCCTAGAAGTCAGGACAATTTGCAGATGTTACAAACAGAACATGCAAGCAAACATGATTTGGCAGTCAGAGTTTGGCTGCTCGCTAACAGTTGCATAAGTCTCGGATCCAGGAGGAAGGCAAGGATGATGGTCAGGGCTCTCAAAAGCACCCAGTGAAGCATTTCCAACATTTTCTATGAAGAGAGGACAACTTCCTTCATTTTCTGAAATGAATACCAAAATGCAAATGGAAGAGCAGGAGAATTGTTGCTTCTGACAGGAGCTTGTAGAGCTGATTTGTAATCACACATCCAGGCACCTGACAGCACCAACCACACTAGTCTCACATACACACATCTGGTGCCTTGATACTAGAGCACTATGAAGCTGAGTGTACTTGGCATCACATGCTAAGGTTGCTGGCAAAAGCATCCCTACATAGATTCAATACTTTGTTTATCAACACTGTAGGGATGTTTCTCAAGATGGCTTGGCCGTTTGAATCTCTCTGCATCTTGAGCACACATTTCTGGCTGCAGTGGAGAAGTATGGCCAATTTTGGCTTATAATTGGGATATCTGAGTTGTCAGCTCTTTCTCAGAAGGAATAATGCACAATGGTGATTGCACATTCCAGGTGAGAGTCTCTAAGGAATGAGATTCAGTGTTATCTAAAAACTCATTACCAAAAGCCTGTGAACTCCTGGCATAGCACTCTCTGCAGGATCTCTCATGCTAACTCAACATGCAGAGAGGCAGGAGGGTGTGCTTGGGTGCATATCAGTACCAGGAGCCACATAGTGAAGATAAATTCTTTTTATGCTGACAGGAGGGCGTTTCTGCCAGCAGCATCAGCTGGCTCAGCATCCCTCACGCTCTGATTTGCTCTGGGACCTGGCAGCCTGAGGCATGATATGCAGCCAGTTCTCTGTGGCTGCTTCATTCCCCAGTGCTCACATGTGCTTTGGGTATAGGAGGCTCTGGCCCTCACATGAGGACATTTCACAGCAAATTTATATCTGAAAGACAAAGTTGCTGCATGACATGCTGCTGGGATGTCCCCACCTCCTCTTCTCTAACAGCAAACAGATGAAAATTCAGAAAGCCTGGAGGCCACTGCACTGATACCATCAGGCATAGAGAGAGTCTCTTTTTTATAGGCTCTTGTTACATCCCAGAAGAGTTATAGTACTAAATGGTAGCTGATGATGTCCTGCCTTCCAGGAATGGCAGGGCAGAAGAGAATTCCCAGCGTCCCTCCTTCAGGAGCCTCCAGCACTCTGTACTTCAGTGCAGGGCTAAGCACTGACCATGACACTGCCAAACAGCTGTTTTGCTTCTATAGAAATCCCAGTTACAGTAAATGTAATGGTACAAACATGCTGATCTCTTCTTGCAGCACAGCGCACAAGCCTTTGGTACTTCTTTTCTCTCCTTTCTTATCTCACCTTGGTTTCTGTAGCTACCTAAGCTGAGCTCCTAAAGCTCCTATTCACTTCAGTTGCAGCTCAGCTCTGCTCTACATCCGGGTTTCCAGGCACATGGGAAGTGGAGCAACATAGCTGTAATCACTATTGAAGAAGCAATGCTCTCTTCTCCTCACTGCTACATCCCAAGGCTTTAAAAGTAAATAAGTATGTGAGTGAATGCACCATGACTGAAGCTTGTGTGAATACGGGCATGTATGCAATAGTCTTCCCACTCCCCCCACCCACTCTATAGGTGCAGAAAGAAGAGAGCAGTGTTTGTTAAAACTCGCCAAAATCTATTTACACAGCAGTAGAAGAAAGAGATATTTAAAACACAAGACTATGGCTACACACAGATGCACTCAAAATGAGTTATTCTTAACATATGCCTCAGCTCCTTAGCATGTCAGCTCCTGGGCCCATCAGTTGTGTTTAATTCTGGATAACACTGCTGCCTCCATGAAGGATTTACAGCAACAGAGGGAGAGCGAGAGAGAGGTACAGCAAGTTCAGTCAGCAAAACACAAGTGTTCCTCCCCCAGTTCCCCAAGTCTGCCAAGTCCCCCTGCTGCTTTTACTTCCTAGTCACTTACTGAAGACCATGGCTTGCTCAAGTACCACTCTTCCTCCTCCCTTCCCAGCCACCTGGAAGTTCCTGTCTCCACCTAGTTTAGCATTTCCCTTGATCCCCAAGGACCACATGCATTGCTTTACATGTGCGTGCATGAGATAGCTCCTAGACGGCCATCAGTGAGCTAGTGCCACGATGTCAGCACAACATGGAGGGACTGAAGAGTGCAAGCCCTACGCAAGTCAGTGGCTCTTTTCCTGCAGGAAGCAAGGAAACTTCCTGCAGGAAGTTGGTAGCAAAGGGCTGAAAGATATAGTTCACATCAGTGTAATTCTCCCTCCTGATGGAAGTAGGGTACCTCAAAAGACAAGGAGGTGAGCAAAGCTATTTCTCAGTAGGTTTTTTATGAACCCTCATCAGAAGATTGTTTTTTAAAAGAGTTGAGGAATCTGTTGCCCTTTGGGAAATACATTATACAGAGTGAGATTAACAATTCCCCCGAAAAGCTCATTTGTTTTATTTGGATACACTCTTACAAAGGGTAAAGAATCTATTTCAGTGCTGGCTCTGGAAGAATAATAATTTCGACAGGTTGATAAACAAATTGGAGCTTGGAGCCACTGTAAGGAAGAACAAGAAGAAGGAATGTAAGAGGAGAAGAGAGGAGGAGAAGAGAAAGATGTCGTGTGTGTGTGTGTGTGTGTGTGTGTGTGTGTGTGTGTGAGAAAGAGAGAGAGAGAGAGAGAGAGAGAGAGAGAGAGAGAGAGAGAGAGAGAAGAGAAAGAAGGCAAAGGGACAGAAAACACAAGAAAACAGAATGAGAAAAACAAAGGAAAAGGGAAAAAGAGAGAGAGAAGCTGTTCTCAAACATAACAAGCTAGGAGAAACATTTTTTTCCTAAAAATCCCAGTGTCTTTAGTCCCATTGCCTTCAGAAGTGCTGCAGAACAAACTTGGAAATGTAGGAAACCCAAATATCTTAG